CAATTGGTTTGGAAGGTTGTTGTTCTGATCAATCACCAGGACGGACTGAGACTCTTATAATCGATGACGATGCGGCGATGTCATACCCGTTTCGTCCCTCACAAAAGGCGTTGAGGCTGCCTGCATGAAGAATCTCGGCGTTCCGTGGCCTAACTCCACGGAACACAACAAGTGAGGCCACGGGCGGCAGCATCACGGAGGCAACGTTGTCTACCCGTCTCAACCTACACAAGTGCAACACTCGCGCCAGAAATGCCCATCGCTACCCGACTACCTGTTGCTAATTCTGGTGATCTTCATCAAGATCGGTTTAGTCCGCTTTGACCTTCCAGCCACTAGCGGAAGCTACTGATTTGTAATAAGGTTTCGCGGCTGGTGATTAAGCGCGAGCGGAGATAGCGAGGGGAAGCGGGAGAGAGGGTTACTCGATTAGGATGAGGATGTTCTCTTCTGTCGGATTTATGAGGTAGTCTCGGATTGAAAATATTGAACAATTAATCGCGAGGATCACAGCGAATGATAAGAGGGGAGATTATGGAAGGAATAATGTCCTGAGTGGACGTTTCTCGGACTTGCACGGGATCGGCGCGGGCGTTGTCAGAGAGTCCGGGAATAGCTTCAAATTGTGTTATGACGCCGTTTGAGATATCAGCGCAATGGTGTTGGAAGAATACAGCCAGCCCTTTCTGAGCAAGAGAATTACGCGCATTTAAATCAGAATGCTCAAATAATTCAAGGCTGATTAAGCTATGCTAGATTTACTGGAGTCTTATTTTCACCCAGAGAGTTTCTGAGTTTTCGTACCTTTCCTTACTATCAAGGTGATCAACACAGCCAAGAAATATAATTCCTGGCAAAACCTCAATTGTTATATCCTACTATCGAGAGGATGTATTGAGTCAAACCTTTCCATGCGGGTTTGTTTCTAATCTTTTGCGAGATGATATCGCTCTAAGATGGCTGGTATAGGGAGGTCAATGACCTTGTGTTTCCGTCTGGACGCAGTATCTACTCTATATACCAACAGTGCGTTGGTCACGACACTACGAGAAAATGAACAATTATCTATAGGTTTGAGCCAATTGAAAGAAGTTTTCTTAGGCATTGTTGGGTGTATGGTGACCCTAAACATGGACTTGATCTAAAACTCTGTGTAGGATTTTGAAGTAGTAGTACGTAAAGATCCGTAGCTGATGATTGGCCGATAGTGGGTTTAACTTAAATTATGTCGTCTCCTAAGTAATAGACCTCGAGTCAATATAGCGAACTCCATAGGTAGGCATGCAACCTGGAATCGGAGAAGTACTCAAGCTGGAGGATTACTCGGAGTCGGATTCGATTGTTTGTCATGTTACTTCCGAATGGGGTATCTTTCGGTCTTACCAGAACAGGAAATACTCCCAGCTCCTCCACTTGTCGGAGACTCCGCTGCGAAGAGTTCCACTCATTCTCGAACAATCATTTCTCAGGTCCAAGAACTTTCTCCTCCCCTTCACTTTGCCAGATCGCCCAATAGCTATTCTTAGCGAGTATTTTAAACACTGAGTTGCTTACGTTACGTTTTTCTTATCCACCATGTCCGTTTTGGAAAAGTACGGCCCCGAAGTGCAGAGAGTCTCTGCAGATGCCCCCATCCAGGACATCATTGCACTCCTCAAGCGTGATGGGGGTGTTTTTGTGAAGCGACTGATATCTGAGACAGATGTCGATAAGGCATATGATGAGTGTCGAGCGCGTTTGGACTCCGATGTTGAATGGTCGGGCAGCTTCTTCCCCAGCAAGTCCTCTTTACCATACGTACTAGTACGGCTGAATTAACATGCGAGCTTAAGAGGAGACGCAACGGGCGCCAAGCCTCCTTGCTCTCAGCCCTACATACGCCCGATCCCAGGTCATGAACCCAGTCTACCAGCAAGTGGTCGACCATTTCCTCACTACGCGAAGTTGGTTCTGGTGGGGTCCTGAACGCAAGGAGTCGGTTTCGAAACCTTACTTGCATTCTTGTACTGCAATGAGAATCGGACCTGGTGGTAAAGCGCAGCCACTTCACCGTGACGACTATATCAGTCACAACATCCATGCAGATATTGATAAGTGGGATGATGAGCGTGATGACAATCGTGAGTCTGCTGTTGGGTTATTTGTTGCTGGGTCAAAGGTCACGAAGGAGAATGGGGGTACGCAGTTTATCCAAGGGAGTCATCTATGGTAAGTACAATTCTTCGACCTCTCATGATTTCGACCTGGCTGACGAACGACAGGGGCTCAGAACGAGGTCCTCCGCGTGTTGAAGACTGCATCTTTGCTGAGATGGATAAGGGCGATGCGTTCATCATGCTTGCTTCAGCGTATCATGGCGGAGGTACCAATTCCACCAAAGACCAGCACCGCTTAGTCTTTGCTACATTTTCCATTCGTGGCTTTTTGAGACAGGAAGAAAATCAATTTCTTGCTGTTCCCAAAGAAATAGCGATGAAATTTGACCAGGATATACAGGAATTTATGGGCTATTCTATGAGCGACCCTGCGTGCGGTTATGTAGAACAGTTAGATCCGCTATACTTGCTCCGACCAGAGCTTGAGAGAGGTCCTTCGGACTTTTAGAAGCTGAATATTAGGATAAATAATGACTTGTATGTATTGACTTCAGTACTTGGAAGCTTGTCCCACTTCTCCGAGTGCGGGCTCTAGCCTTGTAAATCGGCTCGGATGACTACGAGGCGTGCATGACCTAAGTCATTGAGGATGACCCCACTAAGAAATCAACAACTCCGATACGGACTCTCATTCTCTCGATTATCTTTTCTTTCGCTCCACCATCGTCTTTTATTACCAAATTTGGCAATACACACAGCAATAATGACAGGTAGTGATAATTCATCCTCAAATCGCCCAACTGCCCGTCGCAAAGGTGAGCACTGATTCTCTTTTTATTCGTACCTTGAATAATTCTAACGAGAACCTCGCTCCAGACCCAGCATGCGGAACATGCCGCAAGAAGTGTCGAAAATGCGATCGGAAACGTCCCATATGCGATAGATGTCGCACAAAAGGTCTTCATTGTGAAGGATATCCTCCGCGGTTTCAATTCCAAGAGACATTGACGATTACTCCCGATCAGTCAAGCTCGCAACATGCGACATCAGATAGCATTGATACCTCGCCTTCACAACCAGTCATCTTGAGCCAGTCACCTCCAGAACTGTCAATACCGTCGGATCCCATCGCTGAAGGACTGTCGGCTTCAATTTCGCCTGAGTATCCTGTCTTTGAGACGTCAGCGTTGACCTTGACGCCGCCCCAAACATCAGCGACCCTGTCACTATCGCCGGACGCTGTATCATTTACTATTTCGCCCTCCGGATACAATGACCTAGAGAACGATATCGCGACGAATCGACATATCATTGACTACTGTAAGACTCTTGAAGCACCGGAATGCGCATTTAGTAACAGATATCTAAGTCGATCAAACGCTAAGCGAGCATTTCATCATCCATGTACCGGGATTGGATAACCCATTCCGAGAATATGTCTTGCCCCTTGCTTACCAGCATCAAGGCATTTTGCATGCTCTACTCGGATTATCGGCATGTCATATGCATAACACTGGACACGCGAACAGTCAGAGACTCGTCACGGTATCTCTTGGGTATAGGCTATCAGCAATACAATCTCTTGCTTCTCTGCTGCACAAAGAAGATATCTCACGACTGACACCCACCGAGGAGGAACATGTTCTGGCTATGGTATTGCTTCTCGTTCTACATGACGTATGGCATATCTTCCTTACATTAAATGCCAAGCAGCTGCTGACATAGTGATAGGTCTGTGAATCGGGCGTCTCAATACATGGAGCTCATTTGACAGGTGTATCGTTCCTGTGCAAACGAATCGCTTGCCTCGATACCTCACCCAAGCGTTCGGGAACAGCCATGTTTCTTGTCTCAGCTTTGTCGTGGTAAGTCTGATCCCCGGTGGTGCTTGCAATCGGTACTGATAGATGGAGGCTGGATATGTTGCGAGGGTTTAGCGGTGCCGAAAAGCTGTCCTACTCAACCGAAGTGCGAGAATGCGTGAGAGATCACGGAAGTTTAAGCCTTCACACGTTAGTTGGCTGTCCGCCAGTCATGTTCTTCAAGATTGGTCAGGTACTCGAGGCAGGCAAAGCTTACCTGGCTGGGGACCTGCAAGTCGAACAATTTGAGCAATTACTCGACGGAGCTGAGAAGTTCTTTCGCGGATGGGATCCCGATCAAGCCGTGTATCCCACCAACCACCCGGAATGGCGACACCTTGCCGAGGCATACAGGCATGCATGCTTGCTCCGCGTGATGAGATTTCCCGACGCCTTCGCAATCTCATGCGACGACCCTCAGATAAAAGCTTCTGTCTCTGCTGTTCTCGATGTCTGTGCTACGATACCAAGAGACAGTGTATTCTACAAACGTCTCCTGTTTCCTCTATTTCTCGCTGGAGCCGACACATGCTCGCCGCATCAGATACACTACGCAAGCTGGTGCATCAACGAAATCAAGCACTCTACGGGCTTCCAGCACCCCGCCATGACCGAGTTATTAACGAAGGTCTGGGACGAGAGAAGGACGAATCCTCGGGGCTGGTCAAACATTCCCTGGATGGAATTCGTAAGTTCACCGCTTTCTTTGCCTTGCTTCATATTGATACGAGCTTTTTGCTAGACCTGTTCCGAGCTTCTTCGCTCTCAACATGCATACCTCTTCTTTTGACGGGCCGACGTTCCACTAGTGCTCCACTGTGTTAGTCGGAGTCGGCACCGGGGATATAATCGGACTTGGCAGTTGGGAGTACTTCTATTTACGGAATAGTTTCATTTTCGGGGAGGATTTCCTGGTAAGTGATGGATTTGAATAAAAGACGACATGAACCTCTACAATTGTTTCACGATGAATCAAATGATATAACGGACTTCTGTTCTATAACCTCAAATTTATCTATTTATAAGCGACACTGTACATAATATGGCGGCGCAAGAGAAGAACCAGGCCGAGTTGGAGAAGGCATCCAGGCTGGCAAATGTTCCCCACTGTGAACAATATGAGAGAATGATCTCAGGCATGCTGTCAGTCGAGACATCTAGTTCATTTGAGACGATTAAGACTTGCTGACACCTATTGCAGATACGATTCACTTATCCCCAAGCTCACAAATGCTCGTCTCGCGGCTCGAAAGGCCATGAACGAATACAACACCTGGTTCCCCGAAGGGAACGACTTTAACATCGAGAACATCACAAAAAAACGAGCTGAAATGCTCAAATCATTTCTCGGGCACGTGGAGGATGACGAAGTCTTCATCGAGCCACCATTCAGGGTCGATTACGGCCCCAATATGTCAGTCGGAAAGAGATTCTACGCTAATTTTAACCTGACCGTCTTGGATTCGGCCATTGTTACGATTGGCGATAGGGTTATGATTGGTCCAAACGTTATGATTTCGACGGCGACACATGAAACGGAGGTCGCAAGTCGAAGGGCCTGCATTGAGTATGCGTACCCTATCAATATTGGCGATGACTGTTGGATTGGGGGCGGTGTTACTATTTTGCCTGGCGTGACGATTGGGGAGGGATGTACAATAGGCGCCGGATCAATCGTGACGCGCGATATACCCGCCTGGAGCGTGGCTGTGGGATCTCCTGCAAGGGTTGTCAAAAAGGTGCAGCCGCTGGGAGAGTTCGACGAATCGAATGGCGTTTGATGAAGGCGAATTCACAAGGGTCTATAAATATAAATCTTGAATTATTAATGATGTTCTTGTTGGTTAAATATCGTCTGCAGTTCAGCTGCTCAGCATTTGACGAATAGCCAAATCAAGGGTGTCGATTAAGCGCACGGTTGCGTCGACACAGATGACCCGAACTGCGAAGCATAAAGCGCAATGTATCATTTGATCGCGATGTGAATGAGAAAAAGTAGAAAGTGTTACGGAAAAAAAAAGTAAGAGGTAATAGCTTATCATCTTCGTCACCCTGAGAAAAGATATGAGTCTTTTTGATACTCTAAATGATCCTAGATTTGCGCCATAAGTTATGGCCATTCTTCTGGCGAAGCGCCGCGAAAGTAGGCAGCGTGGTGTGAAACAAACTAACGAACAAGGATGCTGTGACCAACATGCATATTGACGCTCATTAACAAGAACCCTCCCAAGAAGACCATCGATAGCGACAGCAATTATCTTCATCTTTCTATTTACGCTCTTTCCTATTGAAACATCGATTCAGTCAAAGAATATCCATACAACAGGGAATATCACGATCCTTCTTATCACGTACTCATCATGACCAGCCAGGAAGAGGCAGAGAGAGTTATTCGGGAGCTCACTGGCGAATACAAGTACGGTCTCGTTCAGTGGCCTAGACACCTGATACTAACTCTATACCAGGCTGGACGAAAACGTATATGAGAGTGGCAGAAAGTTCTTGCGCGAGCTGCTTCTATATATCGACGCGAAGAATTTCACGAAAGCTATCCTAAAAAAAGAACCTCCATATGTATCTTTCAGGATACACTCTAGTCACATTGAAGTTAAGTTCAACGACGACGGTCTTACAAGCAGAGATCTACAACATATTTGTCTGCCTTCCGGCACTGAGGGTGAAAGCTCTGGCGAAGATGGTCTCAGCTCGGTCTTAAGGTCTACGGCCAAGATTTATCTTCAGTCAGGCAACTTCTCCCTTGACTTGCGTCTCTCATCGAGTCAGGGTAAAATAAAACCAATTTGGGTCTCGCCACCTGCCCCAATACCCGATTCACTAACGCGCATGGTTGTCTATTTTCACGACTATGGCACCGAAGAAGATCTGGAACGCCTAAAGAGCGCTATTCTAGCACAATTTGACAGCTTAATAGCTGAAAGTCTACTGTTTCTTAGAGCCCTTCGGCGCATGACTGTTGAGTTCTATGGCAAGGGCGGTGAGCTCCGTCAATCCAAGCGATTCTGGAAGCATTCGATGAAAGACAACCGCGAATTACTCAAAACGACAATCGGTAACCAAGACGAAGAGGAGGGAGAAGGCCAAGTGTTCTGTGTGACGGAGCGGGGAGCTTGGGGCAGACGAAATGTCAAATTGGCGTTCCCACTGACGGAGAGCGGCAAACCCTCAATCGACACAAGAGAAAAAGGGATTTTCAACGTTTTGCCCATCAGCAAATCAAAATATAACGTGAGAATATCTCGCCTTTGTAATATATTTAGGACTGAATACTAACATATGCCACAGTTCTTGATAGACGCCGACCTTGAGTTCGACAATCAACAAAAGCTTAAGCCGAACTCAAAGAAGAATCAAGAAATTCGCATTTGGATCGCCGCGGCGTTCTTGCAAGCCATTACCATGTTTTTCACTCGCGCCAGTCTTCGTTATGAATGGCCTTTATTCCTCCCCCCCCCCATCACTCACAAGACACCCCTCAGCCTAGAAATCCGGTTTATGGCCCAGAAAAACCTTTTGGTGCAGGTGTATAATCAGTCGGCATTGCGATGCATGGATGAGATAACAATCCTACCTGACAATTTGAAAGACGAGAACGGGCAACCGCTGCTAGAACCCTTTGCAAACGACATGCTCTTGTCAACAGACTATCCTCCTCGCGTGGTGGAGATCTTCAAGGAGCACGGTGCAAAGACCATGCCGGATGACACTTTCTGGGGACACCTGGAGAATAATATGAGTTTGAAAAGTCCCAAGATGCATCGAAAATACACCACTGAAGAGTGGCATGCACGAATGGCACGATTTCTTCTCCAGTTCTCGAAAACGTCAACCTTAAATGCTTCAAGGGTTAAGTCCCTTGCAATTGTGCCTCTGAGAGATGGGACATGGACATCTATACTATCTGGCTCGGTGTATTTTCCACGTGCGGGAGGCAATTCCATCCCGGACACCAAATATTTGAGGATGGTAGCACCGCCCGCTACTCGACATCCAGATCGGTATGCTTTATTCAAATATCTTGGGGTTGCTGAACCCTCCCTCGAGATTGCCAGGGAGTCAGTTCGCGAAAGCCTGATCTCATCGGAGACTCTCCCGCTTAGACTTGTCAACGACTATCTACAATATCTCTACCTGACGCTTGAAGCCAGCGACTGGACGCGGTATGGCTACGAAGAAGTTAAGGTTCTAACAACAGACTCAACTTTTGAAAGGCCACAATATAACGTTAAGACAATTTACCTACCAGGCAAGAATCACCCGTTCAGTCCTGAAAGCCTGCTGGGGCCTGTGAAATCTTCTTCTCCTTGCTTGTTCTTACATCCTGACACTTTGAGCTATATGCCAACTCAGGGCAACTCTTCACGCATAAGTTGGAAAAGGTGGCTTTGCGACTATGTCGGATTAAGGGAAGACATCTGCCTAGAATCAGAGGAGACAGGAAAGCTATCGTCTGATTTCCTTCATATCATAAGCCAAAGTCCAGACAAGCTTTTAGACCTCCTTGAATATCTTCTGTCTAAAGGTGAGGTGGAGTTATCAAGCGAGTCCACTATCATGTCCGAGATTCGACAACTGTCTGCAAGCAACCCTTGCGAGGTCGACTTCGCGATCAAGCTACAAGATACTTGGCTTCCCCTCAAAACTCTCACTGATATAGTTGAGTCCTACATGGAACAGCCCGAACAGTTCCCTTTTCTGAGATACATTCAAGAAAATACTGGAGGCATCGGCACACGCTGGAACTTTCTATCTGAGAGTCTTCTTGTTGGTAAGGAAGATAATCTTGACTTTCGTCTTGAGATCTTGCGTTCAATCCGTCGCTCAGATCCTCCAAAGGATCCCAGTCACCAACTCCAAAAGGTTCTGGATTTATACGCTTCCATATATACCAAGTTCACTGCTTCCGGATTAATGACTGCTGACAGAGAGAAGCTCAGGTAAGCCGTTCTATCTTGTCGAACTTGGTTTACACTAACATTGTGTCAGAAACTTCTTCAATGAGTCCGGTATGGCCTACTTGAATGGAGAAGAACTTGAGTGGGCGAGCTCTTCGTCTTGTATATGGGACGCACCACCAAACATGGTCACAATGCGCTGTCTCAAGTCCTGTTACGACCTACAAGGCTCGAACATTGAAGTCAAAAGCGCCCTACAGAACCTTTTTCTCGACACCCTCGGCATTCAGAATGCTCAACTTGAACATTTGGTCGCAGAGTTGAATGAGTTGCGCATCAGAAATGACGAGGATCCTGCAAAAATTCTCCAGATATACGACTTCATGAACACGAAGGTTCCTTCATCTCATGATATTAGGTATGTATTATTCTGTCACAGCAAAATTCTACCTGTGACTCTGATGACAAAGTAGGACTTTATTTGAGAGCTCACCGCTTATCTTCATCTCCGACGGCCAATATATAGGCTGGCACACCTCTACTGAAGTCCTATGGTCTAGCAACACGGACCTGTGCGGTATGGGAACCTTGGACGACACGTATGAAACACTTCGTGGTTTCTTCGTCGATAAACTTGGCATTGAGTCATTATCACTAAAAATACTTTACGACCGCCTAAATAAGTCTCCCAAGTGCAAGCCACAGCAGATGAAAGAGGCCTTTTTCATCTTGAATGACTTTCTACGAAGCGAAACAGCATTTCTGGATCCGCAGCCTGTCAGGAATGCTGAAATATTCCCTGTCAAAGATCCCGATGGGAGTGTCTCCCTGAGATCTGTAGAAACAGACTTTGCCATCGGAGATAATGACATTTTGAGGATAAATTTCGAAACTCATATCCGTCTTCTTGACTTCGACCTTGGGGAATTCTATCGTCTCAAGCCTTTGTTCGAATGGCTAAAACTTGAAAGTCGATATTTGTCTAGATGTGTCCGAGAGGATGTGACGGTCATTGCTAAGGAGAAAGGAGGTCTTTTCGGAGCATCTGAAGTCCCAATCCGTTATAGGAAGCGAAACTTGAAAGCCATAGCCCGCTATATTACTCGGTAAGCTCCTCGGTATACTTGATAGAAACAAAAACACTAATGTCTTCAGTGTTGCGGCGAATTTCGGTAGCCCCTGCTGTCGCTCTGGGATCAAAGCGTTTCACAAGCATCTAAGCAGGATTGAATGTGTACAGGTATGGAGGATAAAGACCTTCTTCATTCTACAACAGAATGGTGAGACCTTTGTAACAGAGAGTCAGCTGTCCAAGGCACATATTGCTGAGCCTGACGGGAGACTCACGATCTATGTTCCCGTGGATCCAGTATCACAGGATATCTGTTTCGGCTCGGTATTGCCCAGAAAGCTCGCAGTATGGATCATGCAGGATCCGGAAAGTAGCGGCCGACCTCATGTTGACATTGAGATGGTCAATGCACTGACTGCCATCTTGGCCAGTGAGACGACATCTCTTGACGAGATCCTTGATGAACTAGGTATTGCCAGATTGTCGTATGATGGCCTCAGTGACGATGGAGATGATGCCACGAGACAGAGGGTATCATTCAAAAATGTCGTTGAACGGCCCCGAAAGACAGATTCGCTGTCGTTTGGCCTCCCCGTCAGCAACACGAGCGAAAGTCTATCTGTTAAGATGCCTGGTCAGACCGAAACCAACGTTGAAACTGGGTGTTGAGATAGGCTACAGAGAGTGCATGCATCCTCATCGAGGAGTTGCTGCAGAGTACCACTATGCAGTTTCGGGATACTGAAGCAAGTTGATTTCCCACGGTGCTACGGGACTTGGACTACGCTAGGATTGGGGGGTTAGGAGTGGCCCCAGCCCCAAAAGAAAGGGAACAAACAAATACGGATCACCAGTACTCAGCGACGATACGCAAATAAGAAACTATAATATATCGAGGTTTACAGTAAATGCATTCGTAAATCAAGGACTTGATAGAAGCATATTTGCATAGTTGAGTGACTATTAGGACTTTAGAGCCATTTCACAGCTCGCGTCGCCCGTCTTGCCTCGCCATCATAATCTTTTTATTCACCTCAGATTTGTGAAATACTTCAACGCAAGAACGGATTTCATAAAATTAAACAAGCTAAAGGTATTTATTCCCCCGTTTCGGTGGAGTGAGTAATGGGAATAGAGTCTACCCCCCTGCAAGTTTAGGCCTTGTTATCAAGAATTAACTGGATAGGGACGGCTCCAGGCAAATCACCCATGTTGAAGGGTAGAGGCGTCACCCAATATACTGACCATTCGCCATCGCCTTCTGGGTCTTTCCATGCCATCCAGTGTCCTTCATTTATGTCCTCATCGGCAATTTCCAGAGTATGGCCCCCAGTGCCATCACCAAGACCCTTCATACAAAAGTCATGATAAACCATTGAACCAATGCCAAATGGGCTAGTTTCAGGCGAAGTCTGCAACTGATACGGCCCACGGCCGCTTGGACCAATGACAGATAAAAAGTCTGACATGGAGTCGTCCTTCAGTACGAGAGATGTTTCATTTGATTTGCATTGTAGGCAGAAAGTCAGAACTCCGACGTCGGTAGGGGCCAAAACTAGACTCTTGTCCAAGTGATGTGCGACATGCATGTCATTGACCTCATCGAGGCCGCTATAGCGCGTCAGTATGTCTCAGGCAACTCAAAAGCCGGAGGGAAGTTGGAAGATATAACAAACCTTGAAACTCGGATACCATACGACTCAGAGATACTCATCGTGATGTGGTCGGATGTAGGAAAATGATGAAGAGTCAAGGACAGCTTGCGACAAGACTTATAACCATGGCCCGGATTTGCGGTTTGGCCGAGTCCCGACGGCATCGTCCGTTAGAGCTAGCTCTTATTAGCCCTTCGTGTTCTAAACTATCTATGACTCATTCAACGAAGCTTTATTTAACTAGAACTAATTCCTGAATACGAGTCCTGAGTACGACAGAATCTCCAGTAAACGTCCCCGCCGAACGCCACTAGCCCGTCTCTACCTGGATATAATGCATAATGTCTGCATTACTGTATCAGGTTAATAAAGTGCCCACAACAATTGATTGTCGTAGCTGTTGACTCTATAGCATCTAATTTTATACATATGTTAAGCCGCCTCATTTTCGCCAACCGCCCCAAACTCCATTACCAACCCGAGCGAAAAATGCAAGTGATATGAGGAGGTTACATTTCGCTATCTATGCTCACGGGTTCTGTGCTCCTAGGATTTCGCCAGCTCATTCAGGATCAGGTACAATGTGGTACAGGCTGCTACTCAAGTATCTATCCGCTAGTCGAACTTGACATTGAGGTTAGCCTTGCCAAGACGTGTCCCGTTAACCTCAACATCAAAGTTGACGCTTCTGCCCGTCGGAAGCATTCTCACGTTGTAATTCAAAACTTTCTTCTTCTTTCCCTTGGGCGTAAAATGATTCTTCAACCTTGATACTGGCATACAATTCTCGAGTGTACAGTCCATGGTACATATCTCCTCAACGGTAGATTCCAGTCGCTCGGGAGGGTTGGTCTCTTCACATTGGTATATCGTGTCAGAGAAGCGTCCATCCCAATCGGTGTCGTGGATCTCATAAAAAGAGTGACTAACTTTCTCTGACTTGGAGACACAGTCGCCCTAAGAGATCTTAGCAAGGATTCGGAAAATCAGAAACTCAAGACTCGCACCTTTTTGAGATACCATTGCATCTGGTTGCCGGCGCGATACTCGCCCTCATCCTCGTCCCAGAACCTGCCCTTCTTGAGATGTTTTCCCTCCTCAAATGCTGTGTGATATGTAACTCCATAGTGTGCTCTAGAGATTGTGGATGTAACTGTAATGGGCTTGTGGACTTTTTGCTGGCCAATTTCATCCCCTCCATCGGTAAAGGCTTTGCAAACTGCGCCTTGACAGATCGCCGTTCGCCTGAGATGTCAGTCGCTGGGTCACGGTTGTAGAAAGATAGGCTCTTACGGTTTCATGCCGTTCGGCTGGAGGACATCGATCCCGTCCTCAGAGAAGATCTCTTGCAAATGGCTGTACAAGTAAGGGCTCCCGCCGAGGCCTCCCACAAGTATGATTCCCTAGGAATTCCTTTTAGTCTGCTACACTTGTTCATCAGCTAGTCCGACTTACCGTCACTTGGAGATCATGATCCTCTGCTTTCTCAATCTGAGAGTTGATAAGATCCACAATATCATCAAAGACCTTGGTGAATGTCTCTTTGATATCTGCCCTATCAATATTGTTAGTTAACCAATCAATAGCTTCCTGTATAGATATTTACTCTTTGAATTGTATTTTACCTCTCTTGATCAAAGGTTCCTTCGAGGTATCATCAAAGCGCTGCTTAGGCTTGTTGGAGAACATTTCAATCGGAAGTGTGACCGTGTAAACCTTGTCCGTGTTTCCGGGTTTGAACTGTGGCTTGATGGAGTACTCCCAGCACTCTTTCATGATTTCATTCTTTCCTCCGCGACTCAGAACTTTCCAAGTCGGGCCCAGACGCTCTCTACATATTCGCTCGAAGGCTTCATCGATAAAGACACCTCCACAAAGCTCTCCTACAGATGTGTATTAGTTGATGCATGTTGGGTTTTGTTAGAGGTTGCAAACCTTGTCCTAGGACTGCCTCGCGCATGCGGATAGGATCAATAGACTCGATCTCGTAGGTGATCAGATCCTAAACCAAGTTCATATTAGCACAGTTACCAAGGTCAGATTCGACAATACAAAAATGCTTACCACTGTGCCACCGCCGGCATCACACACAACATACACGTTGCCTTGCTTCACAGAGTCGTAGCGATCTAGTATGGTTGACAGAGCAGCAGCTTCAGGCTCGGTTACGACATTTAGCTGAGTCGGCCCAGCCGATCGACGCCCTAACATGCCTGCCTTCCGGATAGCCTCTTCAGTGCTCTGCTGGGCATACCCTTTCCAGATAGCCGGAATGGTGACAACAATATGCAAAGTCAAAGCGTTAAACGCAACATTGCCGAGTTCCTGTTTGATCTTGGTCTGGGCGTGATCCCACAGCAGCCTCAGGTAATCGGCGACCACGTCAACGGGAGCCTTACCAGACTGTCTGGTGATGTCGCGAGCTCGTTGAAGAAAAGGAGATGCTCTCATCTCAGGGCTCAGGTCATCAGGTTTCAGTAGTAGAAGCTTGAACCATTGGAGACGTGATACCTCACCAGGGATCTCATATCCCCACTTCATCTCACCATCGTCATCGTAGTAGATCTCGGTAGGAACCTTCCCTTCCTCTCGACCTAGACCAGGCCAGGAGGAGATGAAATTGATGTTGTGTCTCTCAAAATCGGCGGCAGTAGCCCAAGCAACTCCACTGTTGCTATCGTCCAACTCTAGTCAGTCTCTAGTAAATGTGCGAAAGGAAACTGATACTCACGTGGTCCCAAAGTCAATGCCGACAGCCAAGACACTCCTCTTAGTTGTCTTGAAGTGAGTGGGAAGACGGCTGTTTGGAAACATTATTGCCGAAAGGTTCAACAGTGTTTGAATTGGAAGTTGTTGTTCAGTAGAAGAATGAAGTCTCAGGCTGGTCAAGATTGTGTGTGAATTAATGTTGCTGGTGGACTACAGTTGGGCTCTTAAATGGGTATTTCATCCATGTTGAGAAGATGTGCTGTGGGTTCAGCTCAGTAGGCCATTTCATGGTGGTGCGGTACAACAGCGGCCATCAATCACGGCCAACACAACTCAGGCTGGTGGCTTGAGGGATCAAATCAGGCTACCAATCAGCATTTCCAAATCTCATCAACACGCGCTGAAATAGCCGCTTTGCACAAGGATGACAAACATGATTACCTATATTTAGAGGTGTTTCTCTTTGGTTAAGGCAAGGTTCCTTAGAAATTGATGTTCCCTTCATCTTGGCATTTGTAGTGGCGCAAAGCTGAAAACCACCAGGTGCATTTTCAATCCACCAGCGGTTAAAGGTGCCAATGATAGGCAGGCTGGCGAAATCAGGCTGAGGGGTTTGCACAAAAATATCGCAAAGTGCAAAGATGCCGAAACGACTAGGCTTTCTTGAAATGCGAGTGGGCATATTTGGTTGCTCGAAGGGGCCGCAACCAGATTATTTATCTGTTGGTGGGGTTTTGGGGAAGCGCTCTGTCCGGGTCTCGGGGATGGGAAATAGCAAATGGCATGGCTGAGTCCAAGGTTTTTGAACGTCCACAATGTTGCACAATGCATCGCCCCCAGTTTGCAAGTCCTAAAGCCACTCGCATTGTATATCTAATTTTGTGTTCTATATTTATCTCACCTGGTCGGAGTCAGAACGCGAAAGTTGATCCCGGTCATGCTCAGCTTTATAGAAGAATATAAGAGTCTTTCAGTATCGGTTCATATCGAGGAAAATACCTTCTTGCATATTTTATTGCTTCATATTTCCAAGAGCCCGGCGCCACACTTAGTCCCCAATCAGTTCTGTTCCTTCTTCCTAATCCATATATCGAAGAGATGGAAGGAGTTGCTCCATCCCACGAGTCTACTCACGGCATGACGAGCGAATCAACTACAGTCGAAACGTCCAGAAGAGATCCCGAACAAGAAAACGAATATCTTCTCTCTGACGTAGAACATCTTCAGGACCAACTTGAGGAGACAAGACTAGATCTATACAATTCGGTTGCGGAACGGAAGCAGTTAGTTGAAGCGTTAAACGATCTTCGGACCAAACTCCAGCCAGCTGGCCGCTTGACCAACAGTGAAGTCAAGGGCTTTGTGAAGCAATTAAAGTACAACATTTCTAATCTCGGCGAGCAATGGCCAGAGAGCGTACCGCTGGAGAGCCCGTCAACGGATTCCAAGTATCTGCGGTACCTCCAGTCGATCACCCCAGAGAGCTCAGACTACCGACGGCTACTGCAAGATGAAGATCGGCGTCCGCAAGTAGTCGAGGCCTTCATTTGGAAGGTACTGGCTACTGAAGTCTTTGGGCACTTCCACTGGGCTGGTGGGACGGCCGCTCCTCATATGAGATCCCTCCAGTTGTTTTTCACACGTAAGTGTACCGGTATCAAAAGGCTGAGAACTTCGCGCTAACGCAGGTGAATAGCTGGTCAACTAGGCTCGCCTAGACTCTTTGAAGTCCAGTTGTGGACTTGGAAGACAACCCAGTTATTCTTTGAAGCCCTCAATTCTCGAGGGGATGATGAGAAGGATCAGAACAAACTCTATCTCGAGCGCATGAAGAACAATATCACTTTGCTTATCATTGAAACTCTCGGGTTATCAATCAACTCTAGTGGCGGTATCGCTGAGCAGCTGGATGATATCCTGCAGGACGCCATTGAGTTGGACAAAAAGTTCTGTCAACAGGCTGCTACATGGGAGTGGAAGTATCCATACAAGAGTCATCACGAGGAAGCGTTGGTTTTTGACGGTGGCTTCATGAACTTGGATCAAGCAGAACGCTTTTCTTCTGATGAAAAGGCCCAGAGTCAGCAGCTGGTTAGGTTCGTCATTTCACCGGCCCTGATAAAGCGAGGTGGTAAAGATGACATCAATGACGAACAGGAGACTACTGTGATGAAGATGGTGGTATCATGCAAGAACTAGACAATCAGAGCTGAATGTATTCTTCGAGATCTTAGCCAAAGCAAAGTTCACAGTAGCTAGCTTGATATGCCTAAAAGAAGTGGCCTGGGGAAGCTGGTAGCTGCTCTGAATCAGGGGGTCATAGGGCCATGGGCAAAGTCAAAAGTGCCCATTCCACTAGGGCACAATAGATCATGGATATCCTGTATCTTCAGTACACAAAACTGGCTGTTCATACCATTGTCTTGGTCGTCGGGAACTCCAATATCTGAATCTCGCAAATGCCGAGCTCAAGACTTTCGTCCAAGGTTACAGCGTTAAAGCATGGTAGCTGAAATCCCCTTTCCAGGTTTTACATAGTGTAAAAACAAGAACGATCGTCTCTTACCTACGCCGGTATTCTTTTTCCATGTATCTGCTCACATAGGTCGCCAAAGAAAACAAGTAGTAAAACATCCAGGATACTGCAAAGTTCAATAATACTTTTAATAACCTTAAGAGTCTCTCAGACAAGCGGAGGCAGACCATGAGCTTCAGCATCACCGGAAGTCCAGGATCCTACCCCGACAATGCCGCGAACCCGGCATGGCGAGGTTTAGCCATGTGGGCAGTACACGTCATCAACTATCCCGAAGGGAGTTCCTGGGATGTTTTTGTTGAGAATAGTATGGATTAAGGCATTGAACAATAAGTGGATCGAGTTATTGGAAGAGTTGGCTCCTTGTAGTGCCGCGAGTGCCCCCGAAGTACGGATGGCTGAACTCAACCTCCGGCTTTCATTCTATGTGGTTCTAAAAATCGCAAGACGTTTATCGATCAAGGCCATACAAGGTCTATCCCGATGTACTCTTTCATGCGCTGCAGGCGGTTGAGGAAGTACTGAGTGAGTATGTAATTGACATCTGTACGAAGTTTAGATGATCCGTTGATCGAACCCATTTAGTGAGAGTGAGAAGGTAAATTTTGTGTCTCTTTAGATATATACCTAATAGTCAAGTCTAGAATATAGTGCAAATACAATAAACACGCCTGCGTCTTTCAAAGAGAAAATGAAGGGGTTCCCAAATCAACAAGATCCAAATCCCCGATTACTCAACGTAGTTGAGCTTAAAGTCCTTGGGGCCCTTGTAGCGCTGGATCTCAGCATTGGGCTCTTTGGACTGCCAGAGCTGCTTGTTGGGGATGAAGTGCTTTCCAACAGTGTTGCTGATGGGGCTGACAGGCTGGGAGATAGTGAAGGTCAAGCCCTTCTTGCTGCGCTTGACGGAGAAGGTGCGAGAAGAGTCCTTGCACTTGGCGTCCTTGACATCAGGGAGGAGATAGTTGGCGGATTGGACCTGGGCGGAGCAGTGAACGGGGGTCTTCCAGGTCTCCATGGTTCCGGGCTGGATCACCTTGAACTCATAGCTGGAAATATTATGTTAGCAATTGTTTTCAAGGGTAGAAGGGATGGTACTGACTCGCAGAAGGTGCTGTGAGGGATGCAGCTGGCGGTGAAGTCCTTGACCTCGTAGACGGCGTAGCCTGAGACGGCGGCAGCGGAGACAAGAGCAGTGGTGAAGATCTTCATTTTGGTGGTTTTGAAGAAAAGGTTGGTGTTTGGTTTAGGTTGAGAGAGGAATTGTAGTGTTGATTGGTAGTGAGGTTGAGTTGTTGTTGAGATAAAGGATGAGCTTCCGTTGAGGAATCCCTCCCTTTTTGTATTGCGATTGTCCCCAGAAAATGCTGGAGCTGATGTCGATCGCCTCATTCGCCGATCCCTCATAAATCCGCCCTTGAGTCTTGCTGTTTGTGGGGAATTTGAGGGTCACGATCCCCAAATCTCGTATTCTACGTGCCGTCCGGAACTCGGCATTTCGCATGCATGGCCCTCCGGCTAGATCATCGCCTTATTCAGGCTAATTCTCTATGGTCATGTCTCAATTGAACACAGCCCTTCAATATCTAGCCTCGATTTGCGTCCAGAAGGGCCCAGGCCTAAAAAGTCGCAAGATTCAGGGTCCTGTGATATAATTAGCTACTATTTTTATCCCTCGTTGCTTAACCCTTTTAGGTGAAGAAATCTTGGGCCGAGGCTCTAGAGTGTTCAAGTGATGTCATGGAGAAGACGCTTTGACAGGAACGTAATGACGTCGATAATGTCTCTCGGCCGAGTTATCGATAACATTTGCTCTGCATTGAAAGTCATTTCAGGCGAGCATAGGCGCATCGGAACTCGGATGATCGTCATTTCAATACGAGGTTCTGTCTTCAATGCGCGTCACGAAATGGCTTGGCAATGGAAATATTTCATTGCGACGTTGCAATTGCTACGAATCAAATTGATCATAGCGTCACTGACCGAAACTCTGCTATTTCCAGTTTAACATATTTCGTGATCATTACAGTATCTTGATTTTTAGGTGATCCAAACTTATTCTGTATGGATCTCTAGGAACAGATACAGGTAATGCAGTTGGTATATATTCCACCACTTCCAGAGACGTCATGTAGTCTCACTCTCAGAGTGAGAGAAAAAAAGCCTTAAAAGACTACAAGCTCTTAGACGCAGCTTTATCACAATTTGACTAATCAAATTTTATATAAGAGATGATAATGTACTTGGAAATTAGCTACCCTAGAGCTTGATCAAGAAGTGGATACGCTCTAAGGATAGTTCCCATCCACTTTTCATAATTGTACTGCACTAGCCGTATAGAGATTAGGTCCTCATAACCAACTGCGGCCTATTGGATCCGTGGTTCGATTCCCGTCTTCTCCAGTGCCTGGGTTTTGCTCTGACTCCAGAATGATCAAGTCAGTATCAATTGCAGCCAGGATTTTATTCGTAAGAAATATAGGCATATGAGATTCTTGATGCAAATTAATGTGACAGCCACAAGTTTTGTTTTGCTGTTTCATTCAGGCATTTTGCGATGGCTTATGGTGACTCAGTCGGTGAACAATTTAGCCAGAGGAGTTAAGTGGGCGGGGGCGCGCGAAGAGGCTAGTGAACACATTCATATAAGTTGCTCTTCAGTTACCTATTTACTGAACGAACTTGGCTAGTTTTTTCACCTGTCCTTGTGTAAATTCGATGCTCTACAGCTTCTCTCACCTCTCTGTTCACTATGACGCCCCCTACTCTTACCGGTCCTTTATGCACTAGGCCATCTCTTACTCAGGACCTCCAAAACATCGGCCTGAAACCACAAGATACAGTCCTGGTCCACAGCTCCCTTAAGAGCATAGGATGGATCAACGGCGGAGCTGAAGCTCTTGCCCAAGCTCTTCTCGACATTCTTACACTCGAGGGGACTCTCGTTGTTCCAACGCACACCAGCAGCAACTCAGACCCGTCGAAGTGGGTTAACCCACCAGTCCCTGAAGAATGGTGGCAGACTATTCGCGAAACCAGACCTGCATTCAACCACAAAACCACTCGAAGCGAAAACATGGGTGTATTGGCTGAGACAGTGAGGACATGGCCAGGTGCAGTGAGAAGCACGCACCCTCAAACCTCATTTGCTGCAATTGGTGCAAAGGCGAAGTTTATCACAGACGGACATGATCTGGACAGTATGCTGGGAGAAAGGAGCCCCCTAGCTCGTTTGGAAGAGCTGAATGCCAAGGTCTTACTTATTGGTGTTGGATTTGATAACTGTACCTGCTTTCATCTTGCAGAGTACAGAGTAAACTCACCAAAGGCTGATATCTCATTCGCGGTGTCAGTCAACGGAGCTAGAGAATGGGCGACTGTATCAGACGTCAGTGTCAACGAGGAGGACTTTTTGGAAGTGGGGAAAGATTTTGTTGAGCAAAATAGTGTGGCGAAGGGTCAAATTGGTGCAGCAAATTGCCATTTGTTTTCGCTACCTCAGGCAGTCAAATTTGCTCAACAGTGGTTTCTTTCCCATCGAACAGGAGTTCCCCAGAAGACCTGCCACTAGAGTGCCTTTTCCAAAAGAGCCGATATAGGCAATCTGAGGCATCGCTCTAATTAGGAATTGAAGTCCAAGTTTGTTGTTTGCTCTAGACTTCACAAGGGCATCTCAGCCTCGGACGAACAACGTCACTTTTCTCTGAATCAAAACATAGCATCCTAGACAGTCTAAATAACCTCGTTTTTCTATTTCGACATTGCGTTTGTCAGTCTGCCTAACAGCACAGTCTCACACGCTTCAATTCGGTAGTAAGCGGGCATGTCGTGTCAGCCATCATCACGTGGCTAGCGCGGGTAGGCTTTTTGGAGGGGTTTTCCAAGCCAGTCCAGTTTGAATTCCAGCCTTGATTGCTCAACACAAAGTCTTTGTTCTTACTATCTGCTGTGCATAATGACTGAGCCTTTGTGCCATAGCTGCAAGCAATTTGCAAAAGACTTTGCTGAGATTGACGTTAAAGAGTCGATTCCAAGCCGCACAATCGCACCGAATATCTACAAACTCAAAGAATCAGCGCAGAATGGCTGTTCTCTTTGCCAAATCATATACCAGTCCTTCTGTTATCAAGTTTCAAAATGTAATTGGACTGAGACATTGGCTATCCATCTTTCGGCGTATAAGGTTCTCCGTCATTACAAAAACGTTATAGCTGAGGGACAAGATCCAAAAGAGCCGAAGGTTTGGTGCGGTATCGGAACAGACATAGACCGCAGTCGATGGCACCCTCTGCCACTTGTTACAGACGAAGAAGAGGAAGCATGCATTAGAGAAATGACCTCGCGCAATGTAAGATCAATCGCAGATTTATCATCAGCCGAGGGCGTTGACACGGCTGTTGCGTTGGCCAAAAGATGGATAGAAAACTGCTCAACAAGCCATGAAAAATGTGGTATACAGCCTAAGAGTTTAGACCCAACCAAGACGATACCGACAAGACTCATCGACGTTGGCTCCAAAGACGGAGCAGTTTCCCCGAAAATAGTGACTACAAACTCCTCATTCGAGATTGAGTATCTTGCTTTGAGCTATGCATGGGGTTCCGGCCACGATTTCGCCAAAACGACAGCATCCAATCTGTTGGAAATGACGAAGCATCTGCCATGGGATGATCTTGCAAAGACCGTACAAGACGCGATTATCTTTACGAGAAAGTTAGGATATAGGTATCTGTGGGTGGATGCTTTGTGCATATTACAGAGCGAAGGGCCAGATGACCAGCGGCACAAAGATGACTGGTCTTATGAGGCGGCGAGGTTCGGACAATACTATGAAAACGCCACCTTGACGATCGCAGCAAGCGGTTCCATATCATCGCAGCAAGGACTATTCCTGGATAGGCCCGCACTTGAATTCGATCCGCAACCCGTGACGCTCACGATCAACAAGATCTCCGGTGACACGACACACCTCGAAGTTCATCCAGCGTCCCCTTCATGGGAGCTAAGTATTCAAAATGTTCCCCTTCTTACCAGAGGATGGGCTATACAAGAGCGAGTCCTATCAAAAAGAATACTCCATTTTGGCGCCAGCTGTTTGCTGTGGGAATGCTCTGAACTTAAAACAACAGAGGCGAACCCCAACAGCTCAGAACCCAAGCTTTATGGCTACAGAAATGAAGAATTTGTATCTGTTTTTAGAAACTTGGAAAATCAGGAGCAAGACGATCTTATAACGCTATGGTACCAATTTGTCGAGGCTTATTCTGGGACAAACTTCTCTTTCTATAGAGATAAGCTCCCTGCACTCTCTGGTATCGCGAAAAGAATCCAAAGCTGTTTTCCACAAGATTACGTAGCAGGAATGTGGGAGTCTTCTATTCCTCAAGGACTGCTTTGGATAGGCTGGGGAGGGCAAGAGCCTGAAGTTGACCCATCGCGTGGAACAAATCGACCCTCGTGGTGTTGGGCCTCCCCTATCCATCCGATCATATTTCTGCCAATAATGACCTACTACAAAGAAAAGTATTTGACCCTTCAAGTGAAGTCGTGGTCGGTTAGGACCAACGGGCCTCAGACATCAGGCCAGATACTCGAGGGGAGTGTGACTATTTGCGGTCCTATCAAGTCGTTCAACCTATACGACCTGAACTTGGATTTCGTTTTTGGTCCCGAGGCTCACGACAGGGAAGGAAATACAATCAAGAGCGAAGCTACGCTTGGTATCCGAAAGCCCGAGGACCGCATCGCATATTTGGATTATACCAACTTTTTGGAAGTCATCACCCGGAGTTACACTTGCATCTTGGTCGCAAAACTGCTCCCGTCAATGTGGACTCCCGAAGAAAAGAGAATGATCGGTGCTGCGCTGATCCTGGAGGCCACTGATCATGCTGGAGCTGCCGGTCAGTATAGGCGAATTGGTGTGCTTTGTCTTCCGTATGAACAATACTGGGCCAACGTTCAGGACAGTAAGACGGTTGAGCTTGTCTAGTGCCTAACAGAAAGATATAACCAGATCGTTAGATTAAGGAATGACGGAGGCCTAGGTATACTTAAGATACAGCCCATTCAGCGAGCAGAGGAGTCGAGACGTATATCCACATTTGTCTTGTTGACTTGTTTGATCCAGTTTCATGATGAGTCGAGAGAAGGACGTATTTTCGGCTAGCTTGATAAAAAAGATGGGACCTTGTTGTACATGCTTTAAATATGAAGCTGATAGATACCGACTAGAGGAAGGAATGCGAACAATGGAATCCTCGCCTCTGAAGCTCAACTATGATCTAATGGTTCAATGAATGTATGATTTTGGTACCACTGATCTGTCTACATACTGCATCATGCTACAACTCGCTTGATTCTGTCTCGAACTTGCTTCTCTAGAAGGTCAGGACCGTTGGTTCCAATAGTGAGCATACGAGATACAGTCGTGTGTTTGACTGACCCCCCTTGTTTCTCCCCCTGGCCCTTCGAGAAAAGCCCCGTTTCTTTTACAAACATGCTCCTCTTATAAAGGGCGTGATACAAGGCTCCCTCATAGATTTACATAACCTCGAAAAGAGCCCAATGACGAGATCTTAACAGACGCCCTGGCAATTCGGGTTGCTGACGTAGTAAATGGTTAGAGTACCATGGTCTCCATCATTGTTATCATTGGGGAAGAAGACCGGGACACTGCCGCAGTACTTGCAGCCATGGTTGCGGAGCTCTCCGAGGAGGCGCTTAATATCACGACCAGGCAGGCCACCGGTATTTTGAAGAAAAGCTCAGAGTGAACCTCCACAGACAATGTGCTGTCCGTTTTGGTACCAACGGTCGTCGTTGAGGCCACTGGCATAGTTGATGAGGTTGGAAATCGGCTCGGTGCCTTGGCCGCACAGCGCGCTGCCCTTGCAGTTGATTCCAGCGGCTACACCGCTAGCTGCCATGAGAGCAGTGGCAAAGATCGAGGCGATATGCATGCTGGAAAGAATTGGAGTTTGGGGATGCTTAGTGTTAAGCATATACTGACCTGAGTTTGGTGAAGAAGATTTGATGAATGGAACTTTGGAGAATGCATTGGATCCTTCTAAGTATCACACTACGGCTTCTAGACATCCGCATGAGCACATCGCCGCTCTTGAGCATGTAGGAACAGAGATGATCTTATTATTGACTAATGATTATAACATCTCAGACACTAAATGTCGGAGCTCGTTTGTGTCCAGGGCATGTTCACTCCTCTGATCCACTTTGTCACCCGACGCCCAAACGACAGTCAAGCTCGTATACTGCTCTAGATTCTGTAACTCAACAGGCAATGGAGCAACTATGCCATCTCCCATATCATTCTCCGATACCTCAAGGACACGAGTGCTCACGTCATCGAATCGTCCACATAGGAGTTTGCCCTGGTCCCATCGCTCACTTAACGCTCGAAGGATGAACATGACATCCTTGACGACCATCCAAACATCTAGACGCCGCATTACATTATTGTCTCTAGCTGCACTGGTACGGAGTTGCCAGTAGCTGTAGAAAGCCATAAGGCCAGTCCAGTAAATCTTCTCGCAAGCAATCTGCACGTAGAATATCGAGTTAGACTCGACCAATCGGCGATATATCGCGATGAACCCAACAGCTGCTTGCCATAGTTCACCAAGCTCATTATACGTCCGTTGAGGTAACAGTCTGCAGGGTCTAAGAAGAAGCATGCGACCCATCAACCATTCACTTTCGATAAGGGTCTTGTTCGGTAGCTGAGAGCTTGAGTCTTTCCAGTCGCCCAACTTCTTGCTGATTTGTTCATGAATTGATTGCGCATCGCCTGTTCCGGGGCCTGGAGACCTATTCAAGCGGTTGTATATCTCGGATTGTATCTGCAGTGCACGATATCGCTGCAGATAGCCGTGTACCTCAACAGCTGTTGCTGCTGTCTCAATTCTGAACGTGGGCAGAGATACGTTAATGGCGGAGTCAGATATCTCAGTGGGCCGGCCGCATCCCAAACTCATGGACCGATCGAAAGAGTACATACTCCACCAAAGACGGCGTCGTGTTTCCAAGAGACTTGTGGCGACAGAGTCAAGAGGCTGTGGATCTTGATGGAGTCCAAGGTCAACGCACATGCGCATACCGACACCGATAAGATACCATGCGTCGAGTAATGAAGGGTTGAGAGTAGCGAATTGAATCAAGAATAATATCGACTGAACACCTATGATGGTGTTTGGTAAGATTGCCGATTCGCGAAACGTCAATGCTGTACGAAATAGCCTTTGTGCTTGCGTTGATATGACACTATCAGCACTTCGTGATAGACTAGAAGCAGATATAGACAGCACCAACAGAACAGTAAAGTAGCTATAACCATGACTTATCGACGAGCGATCAAGATCATCTTGACTCGGCGTCAGAACACTCGCTGGATCCTGTGGTGGGCCATCCTGTCCGCGTTCGCGAGGAGGATCAACGCCGGAGAAGACATGCTCGAACTGCACCCAGAAGCCTTGGATAGAGAAGAAAGGTATTCGTGGGTAAACCTGATCAAAATAATGTTTTGCCAGACTCAAGGCCGTTGACTCTTTGGGTAAACATGGTGCAACATCATTGGCTTGGGTTAATCGCAGAGCTGATGAGAGTTTGTTGGTGCTTGCAGTTGCCAGCACAAGTGAAGATAGTGTCGGCCCTTCAGCGGCTGAGGGATACGAACACGCTATGATGGGAAGTGCTCCAATATCGGCGATGAGTGAATCGATGATAGATCGTTGATGGGTCTCTGTAGATCCGTTCCTGTTGGACCGCTCAGTATCTGACGGTGAAGTGAGATTGTTCTGTCTAGCGTTAAGCTGACTGAGTCGCTGCTGGGCAGCTTCAATCTTTTGTCGAAGATAGGTCGGGTAGTCTCGTCCACGGTTTGGCGACTCTGTCGAAAGAGAACATGTTGCTTGACGGCCAAACTTGACGCAGCCGCCACATGCTGGAGTTGCGCCGTTGCACTACGAGGAATGAGTTTTGGACCGAGTTCATGGAAATTCACGTACCTTGATCTTCCGAGCTTTGCAAAAAGTACAGGCCGAGAATATTTGCGATACTCGCAAGGTGACATTCCGTATTGGTCGACCTTGGACATCTTCTCTAGTCCCGCTCATGGTAACGTGGGCTCTGCGGCTTAGTGGATGCCAAATCGGCGGCACTCGCCTAACAGTATCCAGTCCTCATCTGCCAATGCCACTGAAAAATGATCAGTCAGGCTCATGGGAACATCACGAGGACCGATTTCTCCATTGAAAGGCTTTAGCTGACCATGGAATAACCGACCAAAGGCGGCTCCTTGATGCCGATGCGAGTCTCCGGGTTAGGTTGCGGGGAAAAAGTGGAATGACCAACGGAACCACCGCAAAAGTGATAGTGGCAAGTCAATCAGCTAACGGCGGTTCCGTTGATGTAGCTCGTAAGATTGGCTAACGACTTATTGCAGGCGTCGGGTTGATCTCCAGGCTATGGGAATGCAAGTAATAAAAGAGGCTATTTCATAGCTTGTAATCTACTCATTATCATCATCCTAGCTTGACTTGAATGCAAATTGCAACACTTCACTAGTCAGTTAGTTAGCACTCAGACTTCGCTACCATGGCCCCTGCAAGGATATCCCACGACCCTGTCCTCCGTCGCGAGCCAGCAACACAAAGCCGCGACTTTCAGCTCCGCACCTTGAGCTCAGATCTCTGTGTCTGTGGTGGAGGCTTCGCGGGTACTATCGCAGCTATCGCAGCAGCGAGAAATGGCGTATCAGTCATTCTCATCCAGGATAGACCTGTTCTCGGAGGCAATGCTTCCAGTGAGGTCAGATTATGGATCCTTGGAGCTACGTCGCACATGTTCAATAACAATCGCTATGCGAGAGAGGGCGGTCTTGTTGATGAGATTTTGCTTGAGAATTTGTATCGAAACCCTGAGGGCAATCCTCTGATTCTCGATACTATTCTGTTAGAGAAAGTGAGACTGGAGCCGAATATCCAGTTGTTTCTCAACACAGCTCTTGTTGGGTGTGAGAAAGACGGAGATCGTATCAGCTCCGTCAGCGCATTCAACTCACAATGCTCTCTCAAGTTCACCATCCAATCTCAACAATTCATCGACTGCACAGGCGACGGCACACTCTCCTTCCTCGCCGGTGCCCCCTTCAGAATCGGCGCCGAAAAGCGCGATGAGTTCAACGAGCTCTTCGCCCCATCCTCCGAGTACGGCCATCTTCTCGGCCACTCTATTTACTTCTACACCAAAGACACCGGCAAGCCTGTCAAGTACGTCGCACCAGCATACGCTCTGAAAGACGTCGAGGGAGAAATTCCTCGCTTCAAGAGCTTTAGCACGAAAGAGATGGGATGTAATCTCTGGTGGATTGAGTATGGCGGCAGACTTGATACTATTCATGATACGGAGCAGATCAAGTGGGAGCTTTGGAAAGTTGTGTATGGAGTTTGGGATTATTTTAAGAATTCGGGGAGGTTTCCCGAGGCAGAGAATCTGACGCTTGAGTGGGTTGGGACTATTCCGGGGAAGAGGGAGAGTAGACGGTTCAGTGAGTCCCCCAAATGCATCGTCTGTGAGCAGCGCTAATCTTTGCAGTCGGTCCTACTATAATGGTGCAGCAGGACATTGTTGAACAGCGGTATCACTCTGATGCTGTGTCATTTGGAGGCTGGTCTCTTGATCTTCATCCCGCTGATGGTGTCTTCTCCGAAGTTGACGGCTGCACTCAGTGGCACTCAAAAGGTAGATAAATCCATCATTTTATCAGGTCTGTGCTTTAATAATATCCCAGGCGTTTACCAAATCCCATTCTCCTCAATGGTCTGCTCAGAGATCCCCAATCTCATGTACGGAGGCCGCATCATGTCGGCATCCCACGTCGCCTTTGCATCTACCCGGGTCATGGCAACATGCGGAGCCAACGCCAACGCTTTGGGTATCGCTGCATCTCTTTGTAAGAAGCAGAGCGTCGACCCCATGGAATTACTTGTCAAGAGCAACATGAAGAACTTCCAGCGAGAGCTCATGCGCTTTGGCCAGTTCATTCCTGGGTATAAGCTCAACGATTCTGAAGATCTTGTTCGTTCAGCCTCCAAGATCGAGGGATCATCTTTTGAGCTATCACAACTTCCAGCTGATGGACCACCGAAGGTCTTGGTTCGAAGTCTTGCGCAGATGCTCCCCCTCTCACAAGGACCTGTTCCGACCTTCTCCATTGCAGCCATGTCAGTCGAAAACACCGTATTGACGGTTCATCTTCGAGGGTCTCAGAAACCCTACAACTACACGCCCGAGGTCATTCTGGCTGAGACTAAGTTTTCCCTGGTTCCAGGACAGAATGATCTTGTTGTTGACTTCAAGGTTGAGAACCCTCAGACTCAATATGTCTTCCTGTCTTTCCTGCAGAACGACTCTGTGGCACTCTGCACGAGCAAGACACGTGTATCAGCTCTCATGACTGCTGAGCACGAATGTACTCAAAGTCCGCCCAGTGATGTTGGAGTTGACGAGTTTGAGCGCTGGACACCAGTTCGAAGGCCAATGGGCCACAACCTCGCCTTGACGCTGGATCCACCTCTGAAGGCTTGGGGGGTCGAGAACATCTGCAATGGCGTTCCCCGACCGACCAAGAGAACGAACTGCTGGGTTCCTCGTGCCGACTCATCTGGTAGGAAGATTCTCAAGATTGGCTGGGATAACCCTGTCAAGGTGAACAAAGTTGTTTTGCACTTTGATACAGACTACGATCACGCGCTTGAGTCGGTGTTGAGAGGTCACCCAGAGAGGACTATCCCCTTCTGCGTCAAGAAGTGGCGTCTGTTGGACCTCTCCAGCGGAGAGCGAGAGCTCTATGTTGAGGATGAGAATCACCTGTCGCGCCGGGAGGTCGTTCTCGAGGCGAGTAGGACGGTAAAGGAGCTTGGTATTGAGGTTTTGGAGCTGAATGGCGATGAGAATGCCTTTGGTGGCATATTTGAAGTCCGAGTGTATGAATAGATACATGTAGCTGGGAATTCGTGTTATACGTGGATTTATTTCTTATGCTCCTCAATTATCTGCCCAGTCTCAATAATTTACAGAAGTAAATCCACAAAGATTCTTCTCTATCTCTCCGTACAATGGATATTCTTCTTTCCCAGAAACCACATTTTGACTTGCCACTCCAATTGTTTGCTTCCACAAAATAACACTGGTCCATCTGTGTCTTTAGTAAAGCTCTCCAAGTCTTCTTTTCCCATTCTCCCTAGGCGGAAGACATCGTTGTCGTTTTGATCCTGTGAGAGCTCCCTGAAGCGCTGATGCCACCAGCTCTGTGACTTGCCAGCAGCCATCCCACCAGTCTCTTCTCCGGGAGTCACGAAAATTCGAATCACACTCCAATCTGGCGGATATAGCATCTCGTGGTTCCAGAGATACTCCATAACTCCAAAGTCATCCCCGCGAATGCTGCAAATGAGACTAGGCTTCAGGTCATTGGTACTGCTACTGCAGTTTTTGGCCGCCGCCATAGCAATGAACGGTGCGATGCCAGTACCGCCAGCTATGCATAATGCTTGCCCGTCTTGTTCTATGATGTCGGAGGGGAATCCGCCACTGACCTCAACAATCTTAGCGACCAAAGGTCCATGCGGTCTTGGAAGTCCCAACAGCCCGGTAACGCGGCCATTACGTGCCATGAGAGAGATACTCTCAATGCTCCCATCCTCTGCATGCTGCAAGTGAAATGGTGTGAAAGAAAGACATCGCTCTTGGTCCGATAAATTCTGGGGTCCCGATACAGGGTCTAGATCAGACGGGAATTGCAGTGTCAAGTGTTGACTTGGACGGAAGCTCCGACTGAAGTCATGTTTTGTAAGAATAGAGAATGAATGGATGCTGAGGCTGGGAGTTAAGCGAGTCGACGAGATATGCTTAAGTTCGCCGAGAGACGGGGGATCCCCGTTGGTGCCGTTGACGGTCATGGCAGGGAATCGGGTCAAGTGATGATCAATATTTTTCGTAAATCGTTAGACTTGAACCTGCATCTAATAGTCAGTCCATTATGAACGAGCCTTTAGAACTTATCATAAAGCGGAATAGTTGCATCCAAAAGCCCCAGACGGAACCACCGCCGTGAGTGAGGAGAATCAAGCGGAGGCTCCGTCTCTAGCTTTAGCGCACCCCGCAACGCGGAATCATACCATGAAAATCCCTGCTTCAATCCAGAACCCGACTTCGCTACCCCAGATTTAGAGCCATTTGACAAAAGATTAAAAAGTATGCCTTCCCCAGACTTTCTTGCGGGGAACCTGAACAGCATGAACACTTGAGTTCTCACAACTTGTTCAATTACTATCTTCGACTGTTTGTTATCAAGATGACTACCGAGTTGGGTGCCGTGCCTGCACAGGGCAAGATGAGCGGCTGGCTCTTCTTTAGTATCTTCGTCATTTCGATGGGTTCCATCTTCTGGGGGTAAGTCAAGACTTCACAACACGCATTGGCCAAAGACTAACAGTTTTCAGATATGATATCGGTATTCTAAGCACCATCTACGTCTCCCCCGGCTTCAATAAAGCCCTGGACCATCCATCATCTAGCGAGAAGGGTCTCATCACAGCTATCTTCGCCGCTGGCCAATTTGCCTCTTTCGCCCTCCTCGCTGGTCCCATTAACAACAAGTATGGTCGAAGATGGGCTGGCTTTGGTGGTGTTTGCCTCCTCTGCGTCGGAGCTGCGATTCAGACCGGTGCCGTTCACCTGGCCATGATGGTTATCGGACGAATCATCGCTGGTGTTGGAACAGGTGTTGTATCCACTGCTGTCCCGCTGTATCTCAGCGAGATCTCACCAGCCAAGCATCGTGGTCTCTACGTTGCTGCTAACCAGGTCGGCATTGTCTCTGGGTAAGCAAACCGTCGCATCGAGCGAGTACAGTGCTAATTGGTGCAGTATCTCTATGGCTTTCTGGGTTGGCTACGGCTACTCCTTCTGGGACTACGGTAATGGCATCGATCTTGAATGGCGCCTCTCTACCGCCATGCAGTTCGTCCCCGCTCTCCTCTTCCTCGGTGGTGTCTTGTTCATTCCTGAGAGGTATGTCTATCATAGTTGTCCTTTACGCTCGCCGCTAATTCTTATCAGCCCTCGATGGCTCGTCGAAACAGACCAAGTCGAAGCCGCGAGCGAGTCCCTCTGCAAGCTCCGTGGTCTCTCTGCCACCGAAATCCAACCCGAACTTGACGAGATCCGCGCCAATATCCTCTGGCATCAGGAGAACTCCATCACCTCAGCCCGCGTCTTCATTCAGCAAAAGCCACTCTGGTCCCGACTCTGGCGTGCTTGGTCTCTTGCATTCCTCCAGCAGATGAGTGGTGCCGCTGGTATTCGATACTACCTCCCCACCAACTTCATTGCTGCTGGTACCTCTGAGGAATTGAGTCTGCTTGCTTCTGGTATCGATGGAACTGTGCAGGTGGTCTGCACTGTTGCAGCCATGTTCTTCATTGACAAGCTTGGCCGAAGACATTCTCTTGGCATTGGAGCTATCATCATGGCGTTCTGCTTGATGGTGAGTAACAATGAGCTTGGTTCGCTACTCGTCTACTAACAATGGTCCAGATTAACGGTGCCCTGCAAACCGCGTATCCCGGCCAGAACAACCAAAGCGCCAACTACGTTAACATTTTCTTCATCTTCTTCTTCACTGTCGGATGTAAGTCGATGCACCACGCACCGAGAACGCAAAATGCTAACAATTGCACAGACAGTATGGGCTTCGGACCCTGCGCTTGGATCTACGCCTCCGAGATCTTCCCCGCCAACTGCCGCTCCAAGGGTCTCGCTATTTCCTCCTCCGGCTCATCCCTCGGTTCGATCATCGTGGGTCAGGTCTGGCCCGTTGCTGTTTCCCGCATCGGACCTCGCGTCTATTTCATCTTCATGGCTTTCAACGTCTTCGCCGCCATTCTTGTCTATGCTTGCTACCCCGAGACCAAGAACAAGACTCTGGAGGAGCTGGATTCGCACTTCGGATCCCTCAATGTTCATTCTGAGGAGGACGCTACGCCTAAGCAGATGCTTGGGGCTGAGGAGGAGCGAGTTGAGGTTAGGGATAAGTCTGTGTGATTCGGCTCATATTGAGGACGCTGTTTGTAAGGATAGGTTCGCGCTCATGTCTTTGGAGCGAAGCTTTGACTGCATGAGAACTATTCAAGGCGGATATGGAAGAGTATGTCATTATCTATATATTTGAATAATTGAGGCTCTCGCTATGCTATGGCCTCCTGGATACATACATTCTTGACGGTTGCTGTCGGTTTTGACATATAAATGCTGGATCACTTGGTGGCTGATTGATTGGGTATCGGAAAACAACTTCCTTCACCGTACAAGCGAACCACTTTGATACAAATGCTTTCTCTAGAATCAATTATGGGCCAGAGGAATATTATAGACTTGCACTCGAACCGTTCATTTAGCGGAAGAGATTGATTCTAAGTTATCTACTTACTGTGTCTAGTACGTGATTATGGTGTTACTTCAATGTCGTTGATAAATTAGTCGTATTTAACGTGTAGATAGTAGGCTTCAGGGTATGTTCAAATCGATGTGAAGAGTTTTGTGGAGACAAGGATCAGCTGCCTTGTTAGCGGGGGCGGAATGAATTCCACACCAAATTTACTCCGCACTTTTACTCAAAGCGATCGGCTCCGACTTTGATCGTGATCCAGATGAGACATCGCAGGGAAGCAGTCGCGTCGGATACACCAAATCTATGTAGGATGATGGCGTGTTTGGCGGACAATGGATCCGCCGTACTTTGTAAGCTCCCTAACCATGGCTTCTTCATCTGTATACGTTTGTGAGACTTACAATGATATAGACAATAAACGCGTGTAATCGTTGCCGCAAACGCAAAGCGCGTTGCGACACACGTGAGTTGCTCTACGATTCGTCTTCCGTCAATCCCTCTGACTGATGTCAAAACAGAGATTCCTGCATGTCAGCCATGTCAAAATTCAGGCTCGATATGTGATTACACGGATGGTCGCTCGGGCGACGTCCATCCTCGGAGTTACATCCATGAACTGGAAGCACAACTGATGCAACTGGAATCTCAGCTTCAAGAGGTTGGCGATGCGGCAGTGGAGGTGTCGCCGCCTACTTCTACATTGCGCTCAGATGATGAGCCTGCTCAAGACTTGATTCGCGTCGGAGATGAGGGGCATGCTCACTTCATCGGAGCTTCGAGCGGTAGGGACACACAATTCACAGAGAATACTTGAGCTTACAGAAGCGTAGGGATGTACTTAGTCCGATCAGTCCTTGAGTCGGCTCAGCAGAACTATCCAAACTTCGAATCGCCATCTGAAACAACAGAAGCTCGAACCGGACCAAAGGAACCAGCTAGTAGCAGTACTCGAATCGCCTTGCCGTCACGAGAGACGGCAAATAGTCTTATCGACACGTTCTTCAGCCAATATCAGGTTCAATATCCCATTCTCGAACAGCAAGAATTTAACAAGGCTGTGACGGAATTCTACAGTCGCCAAAACGATAGGGATGGCCAAAATCGACCAGCATCTGGCGAGGTGTGGACTCGATTCATGCTTAACATGGTGCTTGCCATCTCACTCATGTTCATGTCCAACGATCATAATGAGAGCACGACCTTATCCAAAAGCTTCACTGCCAATGCCATGGCGGATATCAGTCTGATTATGCAGACAAAGAATGTCAAGTCGGTTCAATGCCTTCTACTGTTATTGCTTCTCTCGATCCTCGACTCATCGTCTGCGCCGGTTTGGTATATCTCCGGCCTTTGCATGCGCATGTGCATTGATCTCGGATATCACTCAGAGACCACAATAGCTATTTCTTCGACCAGTAACGACACAGGGGATGAGAAGATAGGTGAAGCAGATACAAAGCGAAGGCTATTCTGGGTAACATACAGTTTTGATCGGACACTTAATATCCTTCTTGGTCGGCCCTTCACCTTTGACGACTTTACTGTCGACATTCATCTGCCGAGAGATTCGTTAGTACCGAATAAGCGACCACAGATACTACACTGGCTTGAACTTCAACAACTCGAAAGCGAGATCGTACATAAGCTCCATGCTGTACGCCGTGATGATACGACTCATGTCGGAGAGGACAATGACCTTACTGAGTGGACTAAGGAGATGGCCCAGCGGTTGAAAGGCTGGAACTCAGTAGCCCTGACTCTCACTGACTTCGATGGCTACAACGTGAACTGGTGGGGCTACTGGTATCGTACGGCGCTGCTCATCCTCTACAGACCATCTCCGTCCCGTCCAAACCTCAGTACGTCTGACACGTTGTCATGTTACGAAGCTGCAAAGGACCTTATTCAGCTCTCATACCTTCGTATCAGCGAGGGTCTGATGGACTTCACCTGGATAGACCTCCATTTTCAATTCATGAGCGGAGTCACTCTCGTATTTATCGTCTGGAAGAATACTCAGGCGAGAATCAAGGCAAAGGATGACTGGGTGTCGCTCAAGAGCTGCTTGTTCCAATGGAAGACTATACTTGAGAGACTGGGAATGCGATGGGAAAGAATTGCTCGAGCGCGTGAAGCACTATCCAAATTAGCTGATGCTACTATCGACCTTGTCGAGAAGGATATGATGCGATCGGCAGGAGGAGGCCAACGGCTGTCAATACACCACAACTCAGAAGAGTCTCGGCGAGATCGAAGGCGCTCTATCATACAGCAGCTCCGGAGACAGGATTCTGACGGCGTATCGCAGCAGAACTTGGCCGCTGGAAGCGATACAAACATACAAGATTCTGGCCCTCAAGAGGTAAATCTTGAACGCGGAAACAGAGGAATGGATCAGATTTATGGACCTCCCATAGACGCCGAGACTCGACACCGACCAGCAGCTCATACAGCCGAATATGGGGCGCAAGCCATGGGTGACAATTGGACCACTTTCGATACATCAACAAAAAATCAACGAGGGCTCTTTGGCGACACCCAGAGCCACAACAGTATATCATCAATGATACCTGAAGATACGTGGCCTCTCTTCGATCTCTCAGATGTAGCAGTCGCACCTGATGAGCTCAACTTCTGGACATACTTATCAGCCCCAATGCTCGGTGTGGAGGATATGTCGACTTCCCAGTTCAACGCTACGGGGAGGCCAGATGATGCTTTCACGAATAGCATTCTGAACTTTCATGGGGACTTTAGTAATATCACGCCCGAGATGCCAGTTGAGTACCCAGAGGATGGAGACTATGGTTACAACGCTGGGCAGTAATAGTCAGCAATTTTTAACCAACATGAAAATGTAATATAGAATGAAAATTCCCTTGAAATACGAGAAGCGTTGTATTGACTGCTATGGGGCAAGATCAGACCCAAACTATGGTCACTTCCACTAAGTCACATCCAAATTATCAAGTTAGACAATCATCGTGCTACTAAGGCCTGCCACCAACAGTCAAGAGATACAAGCTTCCGGTAGTCGAGTTGACATTCGTCGGGGAACCCAGATACAAAACATCCGTTCCATCAGTCCTCATCAAGGCCTGAAGACGCTGTACCTTCTTACCGACAGCCGGCTCAATAGCAGTATTGGTCCAGCCAGCCCCGCCGACATTCTCCAGCACAAAGGCACTGGCCGAAGAGCGACTGTAGTAGATGCGAGCAGTTGTTCCGTCGTGAGTGATACCAATACCAGCGCTAGTCTCACTGTCGCTATACAGAATTTCACGCGTCCAAGGATTCGTTGTGCCATATGTGGCTGTTGCACGGCGGACTTGCCATGTTCCGCTAGTCGAGGTCTTGAAGCGGTAGGCACTCTGGATGTGAACGGTACCAGCGGGGCGCTCGTATAGTGCCATCTTTGCGCTTTGGAAGGCTGGGCCAGGTGAGGCGTTGATGTCGCCGCTGTACGTCTCGCCGGAAGTCAGAGGCTGATACACGATATCCGCGGTGTTTTGCGTGACGGGTGTCGAAACGGTAGATCCAGAGGCGGAGGAGAAGGAGTTGGTAGATGGGCGATAGCGGACATAGCTTCCCTGGTGGCGCACAGCAGACGCGGGATACTTGCTCCATTCCCACTGAATATGAACATCTCCGTCGGAAGAAAAGGCAATGTCATCAGGATACACAGAGTAGCCCTTGTTGTACGCCCAGAGGCTGATACGGGCCCACTTCTTGCTGCTCGTCGTGTACTTGTAGAAGTAACCTCCACGTGCAGAGCCATCACCAGATGCTTGTCCTCGGACGATCAGCCACAAGTTTCCGTCGGCATCACGCTTGATAACAGGGTATGTGATGAGGACACTCTGATCGGGCATATCAGAGCTGGCGTTGACGAGAGTGCTGCTGTATGGCTGAGACGAGCGGAAGTACTTCCACGGCTCGTTGTGCATGCTCGTGAAAACATGGACATAGCCATCGCCATCGACGCTGATGCTAGGAGTGTTGTGTCCAAGATCATCTGCAAAGACAGCACACTCTCCATCTGAATCCCTGACACAGTCGCGAGAGACACTGCCATCTGAGATAGAGCGACGCGCGACCATGACATTATTATCAGCAACAGCACCACCAGGCGGATTCCTCAGATAGGCAAGCCAATCATAGCCGCCGTATTCATCCAGAGGATCCCACCAAGCAGCGCCACTGGTAGCGTCGACAGCAGTAGAGATAGTGATGAGACTACCAGGGCTGATAGTAGCGCGTACCGCCGAAACGGCAGCCAGAAAGATGAGGGATTTAAGATTCGCCATTTCGAAGTGCAGAGGCAGAAGAACGAGGAGTTGAAGTTGATCTGCTGATGGGAAACAGATTTTGACGATTATCCACTCTTCTTTAAATAGTCCATCACGATATCCTGGTCTGGAGTCGGCAATAATTCCGCTGCATGCTTCCCCAGACTTTCTCCGCACTTGGGATCAGCACAGAAACTGGGGTAGAACCATGGACATGGGATGAGTTTCTTGAAGGAACCGCCGTGCCATCCAGAATTTCATTGCGCATGATCTTTTTCGTTGAAGGATCGAGTTTGGTGCAGTTGCCAAAGCGCTTCTTAGTTCCGTGTGATGAAGATGCCGCCTTAAGCGGAGGTGGGTGGCGGAACGGCCGGGGTCGGGTTGCGGGGGGCGGTGGTTCCGTTGACTCGAAATGGCTTCACCGCGATTCGATCTCTCCACTTGTAGGACCAGGCCACCGGAATCAAGTAAGTGCAAAAGATTGCTTTGCCAGCCTCTACCCAGCATACTGGGCCTACGGTAGTCGTACAAATCCTCGGGATATGGACCGTTGAGTACTATCACGGTCGATAGAGACAGTCCTGCTCGATGATCTCAACGACACGTCAGAATTAATGATATCTTGCCCTTTCAACCATTTTTATTCACTATATCGAGTCAGCGCCGCCAAACACAGACCTGTACCTAATTCCATAACGTATTTCAGAAGCCTATCCATTATGCACCGAGACATTATCCGTCAGCCTCTATATCAAGTCTCAAAAACTAGTTTCCCGCAGAACGCTGGCCTTACTGTCTCGAATCATCTCCTGGATCCACGCAGGAAACCCGCGAATCCCAGATAAGAGCACTGCATAACCTGGCAAAAAGAGGTCTCCACGGCGTCCCTTCAAGACATGATCTACAATCGCTTCAGCTGCCTCGTTCGGCTCCTGGAGTGGATCCTGGAAAGTCGAATGTGAAGTGAGGTTCTGTATCAGTGGCGTGCGAACCCAGTTAGGGAAAACAATGCTACGAGAAAAGATTAGATGACTTGGTTCCCAGGAGAAGGACATTACACTCACCTTGTAAGCACATCTCTCGCGTTGTATCTATGCTTTAGGTCTTGCGTCAGGCCTTCATGGAAGGCTACTAACCCGGCTTTCGTACAGCTATAGTCGATATTGCTTGCGATGGTAATAAAGCTAGCCACGCTAGCAATTGTCACGACATGGCCGTGCTTCTGCTTGATCATGGATGGGAGCAATTCTTGCACAAGCCAAAAGTGCGCCAGCAAATTGACCTCGACCATCTGCTTGATCTGATCTCCAGTGCAAGCAAGAATGTCTTTGCCTAGAGCGATGCCAGCATTATTGATGAGGACCGTTGGATCTCCGATTTCCCGACGAACTTGTTCCATGGCATCATGTATGCTTTGTGGCGAAGTGACATCAACTTCGTAAAAATGTGCATTTGTTGAAAGAGTGCTTTTTGGTGGGTGTATGTCAAAGGATATAACTCTGATATTTCTGTGGGAGAATTTGTTGACCATTTCAGAGCCTATGCCGCCACTACCACCTGTGATGAGCACAATTTCCTTACTCCAGTCCCAAGGTTGTGCGGTGGACGATTTGTAGAGCACGATTCGGTTCAGAATTTTGTTTATAATGAAGCAAATGCTAATAGTACTAATGATTCCAATAAGGAACCTGAAGAAGTTTGTGGTCATGATTGCACTCCCTACTACTCGAATAGGCGTGCTTAAAAAAGACAGACGAGTTTCAGAAGGAAATCTCTCTGCGTGAAAGTATGCCACGGCATCAGATCGTTTATCAATTCTGCAGTGCAACTTACTAATCCAAGCCAGCCACTTAAATCAACATTCGTTGTGTACCTCTTTCATATATGGAGAGCTGAAATAGGTTAATTACAAGAAAATCCCACCCTTCCTGCATACAAAAATGACAAAAATAGTCTAGGCCCTATTGACTGCAGGAGCTGAAAGGTCACAATCAGTTTGACGATTGGGTGAAAAGTCACCACGAGTATGTTCGCTTTACATTTGTACTGTTTTCTATGTAATTAGCCGCTTTGAATAGAGTTTAATGGGAGGCCTCAATAATCTTTGCGGCATAGTGGAACATAAACCCGCACTGGTTAGCCAAAGTCACAGGCGTTGGACTTATCGAGATATGGCGGCATACTAGTATTATAATTATTGCTGTTATACCTCACGGTCGAGTCGAGCCGTCTGAGCATAGCTTATCTTTCAAAAGGAGCCATACTTAAGAACGTTCTATATACTTAGAGTTTGTAGTATAAATATATGTTCCTCCCTTTCCCTTGCAGACATCCCCCTTCTCATCAGCAGATTCCCCCTCTATCCTCAGTTTCTTAATGCTTGGGTTCAATTGATCGCCACAAATGCAGAAGTTATCTTGTTCTAATGGACTATAGTACTTCGTCTGGAGAGCAAAGTAGTCAGCCTCCCGAGCAGCGGTACAGAAGTTTGCGCACTCTTCCAGAGTGCTGTTTCCCCATTCCATATAGTCTTTGCCCAGTAACACGTATTCCTCCTTACTCTCGAAACATCCGATATTGGCGTAGTCAACAGCCAGAAGTTGGTAAGAACTAAAGACTTCAATAGGACGTTGATCCGGACCACAATCTTTGCCGTAGCCGCAGCGAGACTCGCAATCCCAAATCTCGTTACGCCTGCTATCCATTCGCAAACGATCGTCGCATACACAGGTGTCCCGATTTTGTAGACCGAAAACGGGTAAGGAGTGTGAGAGACAGTAGGCCTGACAAGAAGAAATAGATAGAGGCCTGATATGAGTTAACCTAGGACCTGATAAAGCAAGGGTGGGACGATGAAAGTCTTGAATTTGATTCCCACTAAAATAGCATCCGTGGCGCCAATATGTAGGAGGGGGATATGATTCTGGTAGAGCTTTTTTGGTTGGGCCGACACAGTAGGCTTGCCCTGGGATGAGACTCGTAGTACATTTCCTTGGCGATATTGATGGGTTGGCAGCTGTAAATAGAGACAGACCTATGTCGTGCTGGCCAAGGACCGAGAGACAGTCATCTCCTTCCTCAACGGTATACCAACGTCCGCATTCTTGATTCGCAGCCGGACTGGCGTTCTCGGGTCGTAGAATAACCTCATCAGCATAACTGGAGTCTGTCGGGTCAGATTCGCTGGTAGTTCGGTTGTAATGGCCGTCAGATGGCGTAGTGCAAACGAATTTACCGAGGTATATTGTCCCTGACGGGAAATCATAGCAATCGTCACGAATCCAGGGGTTGAGAGAAATGAAGTCTTTTATGGTGATACCCAAGTATTCAGACACAGAGGTACAGGTGTCGTTCTCTTTAACTTGGTAAGTATTGCATTGAAACGGTAGACAAATTGGCACGTCTTCAACCATATCGTAGCATTGGAGGATGTCGGGGTTGTTGTAGAAGATCTCTGCAGACGAGACGCTGTACTTGAGAGCTAGTGAGTCGCAAGTGTCGTTGGCTGTTGATATATGCACATGAGAAAGACAAGCCACGGGTGGCGGTGGGCGTTGTTGACCTTTCTCAGGAAGCATCCTGTGGAATTGGAAGTAGCTGGTGATATTTAGATAATATCCGAGCCAAACCAGAATTGGTGTGTAAATGATGAACGAGAAAAAGCATGTTAACAATGTCTGAGATGATGGTTGAAGATTTCTTCTGATTCTTGCAAGTCGCATTTTGGCGATGTTGGGGTAATAGTTTTTACACGAAGTTTCAAGGCCGGTCTCTGGCTGATATAAGACAAACAGACAAACTTGGTGACCGATTTAAGCGACAGGGGCTAAACATTTTCGAACTCGTTCAGTAACCTATGTAGGATGCCAAGACTAGGCAACTGTACAGAACCAACAACATGGCACGAGAGTCCCATTATTATAAGATTAGGACTCCATCGACGGCCCGAAAGGATCTTGTTAGGGTGCAAAGAAGCAGCATGCACCGTATTTATCGCTAAATGACAAGAGTCTAAAGCTGCCTTTTTACCAGATTCTACCAACACCAGCTCCAAGCTTGGCCACAGTAGGGACAAGCTTGAGGGGAGTCAACTTGTACTTGTAATCAGCCTTATAAAAGTTGCCCTTCTGTGTAATGTTTACTCCAGCCTTGCCCCAATCGTTCTCTGTTTGATAGTCAGTCGTGAGATCTTCAATGGTAAGGATTATACATACTGGCTCCAAGGTTGGCATAGCCATCAAGCTCCTCGTCACCGCAAGTGCAAGTGTTGGGAGAGTCCATGGGGATGACAAGGCCGTAGGTGCTCAAAGCCTCGCTTGTGTTGCCTCGGAATACATTGCCCTCAACAAGAACCTTTTTCAATCAGTCAAAATCCCCCAAACAAGCTTTGGTGACATACCTGGTTATCAGATCGACTGTGGATAGCCTGGTACAGGAAGTCCTCGTAGAGATTGTTGTAAATATGCTGGTGGCCAAACCGACCGGCAGGACCGCGGGTTCCCATGTTGCGCCAATAGTTGTGATGATATGTGACGTGGAGGTGGCCAAAGTCGAGATCGCGGAAGGTAGCGTCGTTGCCAACCAGGGAAGACTTCCAGTGGTCGTGGAAATAGTTCCATGAAACTGTGATCCAGTCCGAGGCGCGGATGATGTCGACTTGTCCATCCTGGCAAAAGAAGTTAGCTAAACATTTTGCAATTTGGGGTATACACGAGACTTACGTAGTGATCAGGACCTTGGTTGATGTCAGAAGAAAACTCGTTATGATCAACCCAGACGCGAGTGCTGTTTCGGATAGTGATGCAATCATTATCCAAAATATGGGTGATCTTCAAGTTCTGAAGAATGACATTGTCTCCATGATAAACATCGACTCCAGCACCGGTGATGTGAGCGGTCAATCCAACACCAATAAGAGAAGTATTGGATCCGACCTTGAGGCGAGCAGGAAGAGTAACTTTGCCCTTGAGCTTCACGATCTTGGGCTCAGTACCCTTGACAGCTGCGACAAGCTCCTCGGCGGTAGTGACAGTAACAGTCTTTCCGCCCTTACCACCAGTGGTGATGCCAATGGGATTGTCCTTAGCATAGCCTTCAACACCCCAAGTCGCGAGACTGAGATATTCCTTGGGAAAAGCAACAGTAAGAGTCGCAAAGACACCACAGAGAACCGAGGACAACTTCATCTTGGCAGTTGAACAAGAATGAGGAGGAACAGAGATGTCAATGCCACAAATATGGCCTTTGGCACGGTATATGTATTCAAGATCACCTGCGCTTTTTTCTCTTTACATCAAAGGACCCCGAGCTCGGTTAGGATTAAGGTACTGGTTAATTCCGGGGTGTTTGCGGGGAACCCCTGTCGGCCTTGACAATTAGCACCAATGATCAGACGAGGAGGACTCTTGATCGAACGGCGCAGATCATGAGGTGATTGTGAGTGGTGGAATATGTTTTGCCGTCAAATTACGGTTAAAGATAAACAATGATCGGCTCGGACCTTATTGGGGTAGGTAGCAGTGCTAACGAATGGAAAACCCTTAACGGAAATAGTATGCTTAAGTTGCGGGATGATTCCGTATTCTTTACTGTCCCTACAGAGGAGATCTTCTAAGGTTGAGAAGAGGAGTCTCATAAATTCACTTGATATGGTACACAATACATGATGCAGTGTTCACTTGATCAGTCCTGTTTCCACGCTTGAGCTTGTCCCAGTCGACTCAAGGCCCAAAAGTGACACAATTCACCGTTCGCATTTTCGCATTTAAAGTTTTGACTAGCTGATATAAGGTAATGAGTTGGGGGTTGGGGGTACGCGGTCAAGCGGGAGATGGTTCCATTGCATATGTCAAGACTCGAGGTACCAACGCGTCCTAGTCTCCGATCACCTCGGCTAGCAACCTTCGACTACAATAAAGCCATCAATCAAATATCACCAAACAAGATGAAAGCGGTTTAGTACAGAGACATAAAGATGGAAGCCTTGAAGCCTAGGCAGGATGTTAATGAATAGATGCCATCACTTTTCAACTGTCAGCACCAAGAGAAATAGACCCCAACAATGGTTTGCGAGCCTGGATGAATGATTAATCCGATTCCTGGGCGTTGGGGGTCTACGGAACCGGGGATCGCAATTTCGTATCTTTGAGGCTTTTGGCTACAACATTTTGGTGTTTGCAGTGTATCAAGGCTATCTATCTATGGATATTCTTGGTGCTCTTAGCTTCATAGATTTAACCACTCCTATTGTTGTCATCATCCACCATCGCGATACGGAGAGTGCCTTTCATCTTTCACCCGACTAGGCGTCACGATGTATCTCCCTTTCAGTTGTTCTTCAACTCACCAAGAGCAGCGACCCGATTCTGAGCCAGCATCATTAGCCGGTCTACCTGAATGACACCACCATTTTTGAGTCCAAGTAAGTGGGCGCTCTTGATCAAGTTCTTGATCTCGCGGCCATTCAGCTTCATCTCAGCCAGCTTGTTAATATCCTCATCTGGAATCTCAACCTGAGTACCCCCAGCGCGATTGATGAAGTTCTGCCAGACCTTCTTGCGAGCTTCGAAAGTCAGGTCCTTGTACGGTAGGAAGAGATCCACGCGGGATTGGAAGGCCGTGTCGATACTGGCTGTTCTATTGGTTGTGAGGAAACAGACTCCCGTGTAATACTCCAGCTTGGTGAGGAATACTGTATTTGTTAGTATGGCCGTAAAGGAAGAGCAGGAATACCTGATGCTTACCAGCTACAAGCTCATTCCTAGCTAGATCGCTATCGGTTCGTGCACCGAGGAATACATCGGCCTCATCGAGGAGGAGCATGGCGTTCCAGAGACCACAGAGAGTTAGTGCTCGTTCCAGCGCAAGCTCGACCTCCTTTGGTACGGTTCCCAGATCCCCAGCACTCATGGAGTACAGTGGCACACGTGCCTTCTCAGCAACTACATCTTGAGTCAGCCTGTAAATGCCTCTACAGAGGTCAAGTTCACCTACCTGCTTCTGCGGTATAGGTCTTTCCTACACCAGGTGGACCAAACATCAGAATGATGATGCCACGACCTACAAATGTCAGATACTGCTCGAGTTTGCCACTGGGGACTCCTCACCTTTGTCTTGGATAAAGTCGTCGAAGCTATTGGCGAGAGTCTTGCTCTCCACAAACTCCCAAGCAAGCTGCTTCTCTGTGCCTGGAAGCTCGAGATGGCTGAATGCAGCATCGTTCCACACCACAGGGGCTAGGTCATCCACGTAGAACTGGGCTATTGATGACTGTCAGCTCTTATACGTAGAATTAAAAGACACCTAAACTTACCCCAATCCTTGGTCTTCAGGTCAAAGCCTTTCAACCAGGGCGTTGCAACAAGGCACATGTCATCTGTGAGGGGCTCGAGATCCTCAGAGCGCCCTGCAGTATCATTTGGCGCTTTCACCATCATTTCTGCATTACCCTCCATAGGCGTATTTGTTTCCTTAGGTGTATCTGAGTCGTCGCTGTCGTCATCATCATCCTCACAATCGGGTTCACAGTCCCAACCACATTGATGAGCTATGGCCTCCTTCTTGTCCGACTTCTTAGCTTCGTCCGACTTCTTCTCTTGGCCGACTTGGTCGTCATCCAGGGGTGCAAGATCGGGTTTCACTATGTCATTGGTCATATAGTAGGCGTGAGCGTCAACAATGACTCGACCAGACACCTGCGCTACTCGTCAGCCAAGGTCATTGCGTCATCTCCGTTGATAGTCTTACCGGTCGCTCCTCTGACTTCCTAGGAGGCAATAGAATCTTTGATCCAGAACAGGTTTGGAAGTGGTAGCCACGCAACGCTTCAAGCTTTCGGCCTCGTTCTACCATCTGCTCGCGGATCTTTGAAGGTGAGTTGTGGAAGGACAGGGGATACGCAGGTAGCAAAGTAACGCGCCGATAGGCAGGGAATTCCGGGATGATAATCATGGTGTTGGCATAGCCACAACGATTGCCGTTCCAGTCTACATACTCCATATAAATCTCCCAGTATGATGGCATTCGAGGTTCTTTCACGAGTTTGTATTTGGTGACACGACATACAGCTTCGACACCATAGAACCTGGTGATGACAAACTCATGTGGAGCGGAGATCTGCCACAGGTCGTCGAACATGATGTTCCCAGTCTCGCGAGTCTTGACAAGCGCATCAACCTTGGGGGCCAAGATCGGGGAGAGAAATTTCAGGAGTTGGGCAGCAGCCTGCGGTTCGTGCTCCTCATTCTTTGACTGACAGAGAGACGGGAGACGATCTCAGCGGTGGACGAGAGGCATGAATGGAGGCTTGAAGGTCCATTTCTCAACATCAAGATCAAGGTCTTGATATTTGTCCAGGACGGTCGAGATGACTGCCCGCATGGCAGGGCTCTGGATGGTGAAAGATTCGGTCTGCCATTTATGATCGTCGAAGATGTGTCGATGGACGATCGGGTCCTTCAAGGCGCTCTGTTCTATGTCATTATGCTCTTCCTCGTTGGTCGGGAACCTGGACCACCTCTCAGGACACGAGCCATAGAGGCAGCGATGCTTGTAGAGCTTGGTGTCGGGAGACATCTTGAGTGAATGTTGATGGCTCCAGGTGTTGTGGTGTGCGATGGAAAAGCTGAAGTGCAAGTCAAGAATTAGTTCAAGCCGACTCAAGACCCTTTCTTATAGCCGAGAAGGCCCAAGGTTTGTTGCCGATTGAGTCACCGGAAGCTTTTTGTGGTTGTTTGTGAGTTTGGTTTGATGGAGGTAATCCTTCGCATGTAAAGTGTAACAAGCCCGCAGCTGTTTGCCTTTTTAGTGGATCAGCCTGTCATATTTTGTTTGCGCGCTTTGTTGGTCCATGAAGCTCCTCTTAAAGTTGGGCCGGGCTGAGTCAATAATTCTATTCGCTTCGTGCGGTTTTGGTCGATGATACTCTATTTTTCTACTCGTCGAGCTTTCGGCGACTGGTCATATAATTGCCTGGAGGTTTCGAGACATGCGCCTATTTTGATAGGTTGGGTGAACGATAAGCTCACCTCTTAGAGGCGATAAACTCTGGATAGGATTCTAGAAATTGTATTCACTCCACGGCTTATCTCATTTGGTCTACCCTTTGCGATTACTTTTGCTCCTCATGTTTACAGTCCGGCAGTGACTCGTGGCCGACGCTTAGACCACTTCAGCCATGTTTCGGTGCATGGTTACCCTGGACTGACCGTGCCAAATTCACACTTCAAACACACACAACGAGCTCACGTTTGGCCAGTCTGATTTGGTGACGGAATGCAATTATATTCTAGGTCAGCTTGGTTGTTTGATAATTCATGGGCGGCGATGAATCAGAACGAGAAATGATGTCTCACAAATTCCACACATCTCTTCATGATGACGCCACCAACAGGTGAAGCATGCATCTACTGGGCATAATTATGTTTTTCAAAGATTTCGCGGCAGATGACCCATCAACCAGCAAACAATATCCTTCGTGAGTTGATGAAAGAACCATTAACATGGGTCTAGACAGGCTGAATCCAGGTGATAAATCAGATATTGTTAATGTGTTTTCATGCACAATTACACTCAAAAGGTGACAACAATGACAGAATTCTGACATCATAATATGACCTGATGGGTTAGCGCCAAAAAGCTGAAAATTCCTCCCTTGACTGCCATGGCATGGGGCTCTTCTCCTCAAATTGATACAGTACTGGTTCCAAGCCTGTGAAGCAAAGAGACGTCGTATTAGCGACCAGTCCGTGCATCAGGCCCATACGAATGAGACCCATGGATCCGTCCAAGGAGCTTGAAGCTATCGTCCCCACTATCAACATGGACGTGAACATGGACATGGACATGAGCGACATCCTCGATTTCTTACCCGTCCCCACTCTTGTTGTCTCCCCATCCTATCGTATCCAACGAGCCTCAGTCGGTCTACTCGAGGCATGGGGACGCGACCGCGAGGTACTCGTCGGCCAAGACCTCTTCACTGCCCTCTATCACGGATCGCCGACCAAAAGGTTTGACCGTATTCCCTTTGTCTACGCGATTGAAACTGCACTTGAAGCTCGCGCTCTCCGTTTATGCCATGCGGCCTATATCGCCAGTGGGATTTCTTGGACTGCACGCATCATGCCCGTGCACAAAGGCGATGAACTGCTGTGCCTTGTCATACAATGGGAACAAGCAGAGCCTCACACTACAACAGTCAACGGCGAAATAACACAGAGCTGGCTGCCTATCGACGACGCCTTCCGCATCCTCGTCCAGGCTGTCAAAGATTATGCCATCTTCCTGCTCGATACTCGCGGGAACGTCATGACTTGGAACACTGGAGCAGAGCTAAACAAGGGTTACAAGAAGGATGAGATCATTGGCAAGCACTTCACAACCTTCTATGGCGAAGAAGATATCCAATCTCGAAAACCCGAAAGGGAACTCGAGATTTGCTTGCGTGAAGGCCGGGTTGAGGATGAGGGCTGGCGCTACCGCAAGGATGGCAGCCGATTCTGGGCCAACGTTGTTATAACGGCCATCTACAAGAACGACATTCATGTCGGCTTCGGAAAAGTCACCAGGAATCTCACTGAAAGAAAAGAGGCAGAACTGCGACTGACCGCTGCTTATGAGGAAAGCACCAAGCTGAAGAATGATTTCCTGGCAAATATGAGTCACGAGATCCGAACACCTATGCATGGCGTACTCTCTGCCTGCTCACTACTACTGGATAGTCCTCTCACAGAAGAGCAACGGGAGACGGCCAATATGATCCAAGAGAGCGGACAGGTCCTATTACGCATCATCAACGATATTCTCGACTACTCCAAGATTGCGGCCGGAACCTTTCCCATCATGAATGAGAGGTTGGATATATCCAGTGTGATCACGTCGGCTGTGCGGAGAGCCCAAACTACCGTGCAACCGGGAGTATCTTTAAAGCTGGAACCATCACCATACTTACCAAAATGGGCGGAAGGGGACGTTCTGAGATATCGCCAGATCTTGGAGAATCTCCTCAGTAATGCTGTAAAGTTTACCGAGAAGGGATATATCTCGGTTCATGCTTCGGTACTTGCTGAAGACGAGACCACTCATACAATACGAACGGAGATCTGGGATACCGGGCACGGCATCACAGAAACTGACGCGAAAGAGCTGTTCAAACCATTCACGCAGCTTGATACACCACACCAAAAGCGGCGCCCAGGAACAGGACTTGGGCTATCAATTGCGAAATCACTTGTTGAGCTGCTGGGAGGGAGTATAGGATATAAACCCAACTCGGAACGGCAGGGCAGCATCTTTTGGTTCTCATTCAAGGTCAAGAAGCTCAGCAGCCTTCGTCAGGCCGAACCTACTACCATTCCACCGGGAGTCGGTGGGGAACTACCTCAACAACAGGTTCAAAAAGGCGAGGATCTTGCCACGCAACTAGAACAGTTATTGAAGATCTCACCAACAAAGAGGATACTTGCGGCCGAGGACAACATCATCAATCAAAAGGTCCTAGTCGGGATGCTGCATGGCTTCGGATTCAAAGACATAACCGTTGTCTCAGACGGCGCTCAGGCTGTGTCGTCACTGTCAGCGGCGGCTAATACCTTTGACTTGATACTCATGGATATCAGTATGCCAGTCATGAATGGCTACGAGGCAACACTTCGGATACGTCGTAGCAGCATACGTCTACCTATAATTGCCATGACTGCCTATGCGCTGAAAGGCGATATGGAACGTTGCTTAGAGAAGGGGATGGATGATTATATTCCCAAGCCAATGGATAAGCAAGTGCTGATGAACAAGCTGTTGAAGTGGCTTCGGAGTCCAGGTGACATAATATCAGATCTCACTGTCAGACAGGATTAGCAGGCATCGAGCAATTCGACATAACACCATTATGCTACAATATGAGAGAAGTAACTTATACTTGTTCAAAAAATGCTTGCTTCGTCCTAATTCTGTGCACAGAAGACGAGGGTGATAGCTGCATGCCATTCATTGAGGCATAAATCCTGTTTAACAGAACAATACTTACTTAACCTCATCGGAGTAGTATAGTTTTGTTCTCCATGCTGAGACTTCTTCGCACTTTAGTCGCACCAGAATTCCCGAAAATGACAAAAGAAAAGAGACAAAGTACGTATACGTACACCAAGGGAATAGATGTCCTCTCTGTCATCCCTTGAGGCTTTAATTCATCTATCCCTAGCTATGTTGCTGCCTGAAAGATACGGCATCCGATTGGTGGATTTAGCGTACCCAGTAAGCGTGTGTGCTTTCCCACAAATATATAAGATCATAAGCGGCAGGCAGCAGCACTTTTGCAATACAACTTCTCCCCTTCCCCTTTCAGCGAACTCGAAAATGCGACGCAGACTCTACGGAGAAGCACCTTGGGATACTGGAAATAACTGTGCCACGAGCCGTGAGGACTGCTGGATGTTCTTCGTGCCAGAAAAGAAACAGCGGATGAGAATGCCGGTTCTTGATCTGGACGGCGACATGGAACCCTCAGACTTCTGCACATATCATCTGAGTTTCGACGCTTTCAAGTTGCTGTGTAACTCAATGGAAGAGGTCAAGATTGGCTCGGATGAGGGGTTACTTTTGCTATCGGCCCACTCAACGTTGAAGCCTTTGCAAGGTCAAAACCGCCTAGAGATGCTTCCTGCCGAGCTTCTGGAAGCAATATTTGGATTCCTCGAGGCAGAAGAATTCATGGCTTTGGCCTTGTGCTCGCAAACGCTCTGGTTTCATGCCATCGGGTGGATAAAGGGTAGTTATACTCGGTGGAAGAACGAATATTCCTGGGTCAACACTCCAATAATTTGCACTACCAGGAGACTTCGCATTCTTCCCAAAGCGTTGCAACACATATTGCCAGAATCGACACCTGATGATATGGAGAGAGAATCTAAGCAGATTGGCTATCGATATAAGATAGCTACCACTCGTGCATCGATTTGGTTCGACAAATCTGTGGACAATTACGACAAAGTACCATTCCCCTACGACTGTACATACGAAGAGGCTTTCCTCAAACAACTCGAAAGGACAGATATCCCCGAAAGCCTCTACTTGATCATGAAGGCTTGTTTTCCAAGTATAAGACTTGAACCTGGAAGCAGTTGGCTTTTGCGCAACCTGACAGATCAAGAGTACATCAGAATGGAAGCTGTAGTCACCTCTGATGGCGAGCCCACTATTTCGCTTCCAGGTTGTCAGTGGCTCACACTTGATATTCTCCTTTTATGGCTCATTAGTTGGAGAGTAGACTATACAAATAACAGAAACAAGGCTTGGTCTTGGGAACAACTTGAAGCCTTCGAAGGTTTTACTGATCAAGATCTCTCAGATGTAAGCCTAGGACCACCCTACGGGCCAATGTGTTCCGACTTCTGGCCAATATGGGCTGGCCCTTGGGCTGGTCACAGACTAGACGTTGTTGCCGAAACGGGGTTAGATAATGACTGGAAGGATCGGACTGAGAACATCACGAGATTAGCTCCCAAAATGCTGCGTGTATTCTACGGAAGGTCTCTTGAGATTCAGAAAGAAAACAGAGACTACTGGGAAGAGGCCTTTCGGAAAGGTGGTGATCATTGGGAGTTCAGACAGTCGTCTCCAGTTCCATGGGAGTTTCCTGAGCTTGCTGGGGACAAACCAAAACAGAGATTGTCCCGCATCAGATGAGTTTCAAGGTTTCTGAGAGCGATGTACGTTGATATCAATTTCTCCATGGAAATAAAAGGAATATTGATCAGTTTTTGTCTCGTGCTTCATAACCGTAGTTTTTGCCCTTGTACTGACCACTAGAGTCGGTAGCTCAACGCGCTTGACATCCATTCATAGTGTATCAAGGTCCAATTATCTCAATGATTCCCGTTATCGCCCCTTCTATAAGTAGCCTGACCAGAAAGAAACCGATGGAAGCACTAAAGGAACGTGAAAGGATACCCTTATCATACAGTACGTCGAGAGTATTCTATGAGCTCTGTTTCTTGTGGTGTATATTCGTCCACTTGGTAAATAAGCTCGTGATAACTGTGATGCCACAAGCCGCAATAGTAATTGCAAAAGCAACTTTGATGCCCCACGCATAAGCATGTAGTATACTATTCAGCTCGGCGCCAGAGAACTTCTGTCGCAGAGTAGTAGCACCAGTTTCTGTTACCAGGGCGGGGTCTATGGTAGGCGCTGTACTGGACAGCTTATGAATGATTTGGTTGATGAAGCCAGACTGCGCAGCTGTGATCAAGAATGTACCACCAATGGTCCGAGAAACTACAATGGTGACATTGAATGTCAGCTAGTTGAATGACAAAATGAAAAGATTAAGACGAAGACATAGAGAGAAAGGAAATACTCACATATGATGATCGAAGTTACAGGAGCCATATCACTGGGTGTAGCGAACGCCTGCGAGATGACAACTGGAACCTGGAGACCAACGCCGTACCCGAAACCCGCCAGGATCTGATATCCAACCCATTTGCCAGTCGAAGTCCCAATGTCGAGAGTATAGAACAGACCGGACGCAATGGTGACGATTATCGAGCTAACAACCAGATATGGAGCCGCAGTGCCAGTCTTTGTGATGGCTTTACCAGATGCAAATGTTGCGACACTGAACAGCGCGATGAGAGGAATGTTTCGTACGCCCGAACCGATAGGACTCTGGTTGTCGATGCTCTGGAAGTAGATAGGCAGATAGTAAAGCGTGATGAAGTAAGATCCAGCAAAGAAGAAGCTCCAGATAGCGTTGACCCAAACAGTTCTTTGGCCAATTAGTCGTGGTGTTAACATCGCACGCTCCCCCAGCCAGAATTCTACCGCTATCAGTGTGATAATCATGAGAACAAAGCCGACGAGCAAGCCAATGACAACACTAGAGTTCCAAGCATGGGTGACACCACCATATTGAAGGGCTAGAAGCAAAGACAATGACGCGCCCATCACAAGCGCGGTGCCTATAAAGTCCATCTGTAAAAGCTTTTCCTTGAGTGTAGCGTCGACAACCTTGACCCCCGCTGGGGTCTTGAAGGTGAGAAAGATGACGAGAATAGCCAGACCGCCGATGGGAAGATTGATATAGAAGCACCTAAAGAAATTAAATTAGTTCACCTCTGTATGGATGAAAGGACTGTGGTTGTTTGTAACAACATCATCTGGAGAATCTACTTACCATCTCCAGCTCGCCCCATCTGTAAGCCCCCCACCAATGAGCGGTCCAGCAACAGCAGCAATACCATACGACAACCCGATGAAGCCCGTGTATGTAGCTCTCTTCTCAGGGGCGGCAATGAAAGCAGGAATCGTGTACACTCCGGGGGCAACACCCGAGGCGCCTAAGCCAGCGATAGCACGCCCGACAATCACAGTCATCGAGTTACGAGCAACAGCGCTGATCAGGCTTCCGAGTTCGAAGATGAAGATGGACGCCAGGAAACTTGTTTTCAGTGGGAAAAACTTGTAGATCTTGCCCCAGAGTGACTGGAAGGCCCCGAGGGTGAGGAAGTATGCAGAGCCGTACCACGAGATATCTTGCAGGCGGCCGAACTGGTCGGTGATTTTCGGGACGGCGGTTGCGACGATGGTCTGACTGGTATCAGCGTTGAATATGGGGAGATGGATGGTCTGGACTAGCTGAGCTTGCCTGGTCGAGAGAGCAGAGAGTGATGCTTAGCACCAGCGCAAGCATGATGAAAAACATTTCTAATCCTCTCGGGTATTCCACAGGCTTTTCTGCCTCGGTAGCTGCTTTTTCATCGTCTCTGTTCGTATGTTCATCGCGCATTTCTGGTGTTTCTATATCGTTGGCAGTTGAAGATGTCTCAACGGACGGTGGTCTGGACTCGGAAGCCTGCTTCTCTTCGTCGAGGGCCATGGTTGTCGATCTGTTTTTGGTCATATTTGTTTCCTTTTCGGTCATGTAGTCAAAACGGGGTAACGATTGGGAATTACGTTTCTGTTGGTTGGTTCCAAAGCCCATTCGATAGTATGATGTAAAGGGGAAAAGGTCCAACAACAAGGCTAACTTGCAACCGAACTTTGACAAATATTCTCTACGCCCAATATATAGCAAAGTAAATGAACAGCACCCCTAGTATATTTTCCCTACTCCCTCAACTTCACAGCGGAGGTAGTTGAGACAAACGCCGCGAAGTCGTTAAGTCCGTTAAAGCCGACTGCCTTCAAAAGGGGAAGCATTGTGGGCTATCTTACCGCGTCATGGAAATGTCAGACATTGTCAACGATATTTAAATTGGTTCAGAATCTGACAGCCCCGAGCGTATGATCGTTGTACTGCATCCCGTTCAGGCCGTGGCATGGTATCAGCCTGTAGCAAAAAGCTTCTTCATGAGCTGCACCGAGCATAGGGAATGGCACGAAATTCACCGTATGTCCTCAAGATATGCTGGCAAACTACCTAACCTGCCAATATTTTTATTAAATGGTAGTTGTATATAGACACCAAGGTACATATGTAGACGATCACCTCAATGTTGACAGTCTAAATGAAGTGGCTTGTTGCTCTTTGTTCAAGACAGTTGAGCCCAGCGCACTAGAATCACAAATGATTCAGTAGAATTCCATAAAGTTCCCCTGTTGCACACCATTTCCAGACACAACATTCGACATAAATGAAGACCCTCCCTGCTCGTAAGCTCGAGGTGGCTGGGTAGTTGAAACGCGCATCCGATTGCCCTGGTTTAATTGATTGAGTGTTTTTATCGTACCGCCATATTTTGATCCCTGCTGCCTCGCTAAGATGGAATGGCCTGATGGAGAAGTAAAGTTTCTGTCGGTGTGAATGTACTGTTTCAAGATAGCTTTCGATGTTGCAGCGGCCATCGCAGCAGCATAGTCCTGCCACTCCTTGGTCTTCTCACTATCAGCAAAGTCGGATACGCCTTTGACAATGATGCATGGTAGCTCTTGCCATACTCCTGCGCCTTCCATCTCGAATGCAACGATGTGCTCAGCAGCGGCGATCCGATCACGGTGTTCAGCAGAGACCATGACAGTATCGCCTGAAGCCATGGGTCCAAAGTGGACAGTGGGTACTTGTATGTCGATAGCCTTTTGTTCTCCCAGAGCCAGTGGTTGCGACGCTGATCCAGAAGCGCCAATAGCACCTATTCCTGGCCTTTCATATCTGCCATGCTGGCCTAGTCGAGTAGCAGTCTCTTTGAGTTCCACGATGAACGTCGCAGACCCTTTCATGAGCCGCCGCCTCCCCAAGACTGTTTGGAGGCTTTCCAGGAGATTGAATATTTCTTTCGGCATCATATCACCATGACAGGTCTTCTTGCGGACAAACTCATGATCCGTCTGATGCCCGAAGTCATATCGAATAATGGTGTCGCTGATGACTACGTCACCCAAGCCAATATGCTTTTCCCCAATCCAAGGGACGGCACCGCAAATTCCAACTAGGATTGTGAGGCAAATATTTGGGTAGCTTGCGCGAAGGCTTGTCGCGGCGGCTGCCGAATTCACCTTTCCTTTGCCTAGCAGTACGACCACAACGTTATGCTTATCGATACGCCCAGTGAAATACATGTTATGATCCCCGTCAGACTTGCCAAATTGATCACCATCCTCATCCCAGAACTCATCGACTACCATACAAACAGCATCGAACTCAAGTGATAAGGCGCAAACAAGGGCTACTGGAAAGTCCCCTCGGCCGGCAGGTCGCTGGTAGCTGCTCATGTCGAGGAAGATGTTTCCTATCTGCCCTCAGGTATGGAAAAGGGGAACCAGCTTTGTTTTGGGACGGCTCGGTATTTGTGTCAGGGTAAAAGGATGTTTTGGCGGAACATGTTTATGAGCCCGGAGCAATGGGTGTCGGGGTCCCGAATTTTCAGAAGTGTCTGTAGGGTCGCAGCAACGGCTGAGTCCTGTTTGTCGCCTACCCCCGCTTCTTCCTTCAGCGGTGTGGGTCGTAGGGCATACAGGTCTTATCAAGGCGGTGTCATGATCGGCTTATAATATCCGAGCCAGATTCGGACCATGCATGGAATGTTTGAGGTGATTATATGAACGGATCCCTATGCCTTCTTGACTCCGTTTATCGCGAAGGGAGGGAATAATTCGAAACGGTTTGTCGGTCAAAACCCTTCCCATCTACTGGAATAGCCTTGACCTTTTTCGACTTTCTTGTGTTGGTGATAATTTTTTGTGGCTGCATATATTGTTTCGTGTCCGCAGGTGTTGACCCAATGAGAGAAGGCTTGAGACCATCCCTGCTAACCAGGATCAGGCAGCGTAAGCAGTAGGCAGCCTGCCAGCACATTTCGCCCGTCCATTGTTCATCGCTGTCATAATTGGAAAGCGTTGACCTGGTAAGTCAAGAATAGGTCATAACAGGTTAATGAAAGAATGGGCATTTCTTCCCTGCTGTTGTAGCATAGCAGGGATCTACAAAGCCATAGGTGCCTTTTGTGTGCATCAGATTCTCCGTAAGGGTGTTCTACCAACAACGCACATCGAGCTTAGTTTCGGCCAATCATATCTTGTTGTTTCTGAGACTGTGCTGGGGGGTTGAAAATTAGGCTGAATGCTCATTTGGATGTTGTGGTCAGTCTCATCAAACATTTTTTCTCTCACGTCAACCGGCGGTTCTAGTTCTTTATCCTTCGTTCATCACCTCCAACGTCGCCTATGAACACACGACGAATTATCCATGATCGGGGATGTCCGGACCATCGCATTTGCACCAGGGTGGTTCGGACTTTTCGAGCACAGTCACCGGGCATAATGTCGACTTGGGGAATAAGTCATTGACTCGCAGAGACACAGCTCAAATGATAAATAACCACAATTACTATGGATATCCCACAGTCCCGCTGCGAGACCAGGCACATGAAAATCGTGGAGAAAAGCGAAAGTGCACCGACAACCAAGGTTTGTTTTCATCACTTCCCCTGGGGAGCTTTTGACACTATGAGTCTAGGCTAATCTACGGTCGACAATCAGAACGAGGTAGCCGCAGTCGGCCACCAATTGAAACTCTCCTTCAATCATTACGGTTCAATCAGATCGATGCTCGGCATGACAACATCAGGAAAGCTCACTCGGAAACATGCAAATGGATTCTGAAAAGAGCGGAGTACCTCAACTGGCTGGATCCCAATAAGGTCGATGAACATCACGGCTTTCTGTGGATCAAAGGAAAGCCTGGAGCAGGGAAGTCCACTGTGATGAAATTCCTTCTCAATAATGCCCGCAGAAGAATGAGAAACAAAACCATCATCTATTTCTTCTTTAATGCACGGGGAGAACAATTGGAGAAGTCCACTGCTGGCATGTACAGGTCACTGTTACGGCAGATGTTGCAACAACTTCCCAGGCTTTACACTGTGCTCGAACCTGGGCTGGTCTTAGGGATCAGCGAGAATCACGAATGGGGTGTTGAGGCACTAAGAACACTTTTTGAGCAAATTGTGGAAGGCCTTGGGGATTCTTCGGTTGTTGCCTTCATTGATGCCTTGGACGAATGTGATGAGTCAGAAATTCGCTCCATGGTGTCATCATTCAAGAGTCTAGGCAAGGTGGGCGCTGAGGACGGAGTCAGTTTCCGGGTTTGCTTCGCGAGCAGACACTATCCTCACATTACAATACCAAAGAAGGTTGAGTTAGTTCTGGAAGGGCAAGAGGGACATGAGCAAGACATCATTTCTTATCTTGACAGCGAGTTGGAGATTGGAGAAAGCAAACTCGCAAACGAGATTCGTGCTCAAATCAAAGAAAAGGCGTCAGGTGTCTTTATGTGGGTTGTTCTTGTGTCTGGTATTCTGCAACAAAAGTTTGATCAAGGACGCATACATGACTTAAAAACGACCCTCCAAGAGATCCCACGAGACCTGTACGAGCTCTTCCGAAATATTCTTACTCGAGATGATTCCAACAAGGGTGAAATGCTTTTATGCATCCAATGGGTTCTCTTCGCACGAAATCCGCTAAAGCCAGAACAGCTTTATTTTGCGATCCGCTCACACACAGAGTGCACCACTTGCAAATGGGACCGAGACGAAATCACTGAAGCTACCATTCGTAACTTTATTCTAAATTCCTCGAAAGGTCTGGCTGAAGTCATTCGGACAAGAATGGATCCAACAGTTCAGTTCATTCACGAGTCAGTCAGAGACTTCCTCCTCAAAGACGGTGGCCTCAGAGTTATCCTGGATACGAGTGGAGATATTGATGCAGAGAGTCATGATAAGTTGAAGAGTTGTTGTTATAAGTATACGCAATCTTACACAGAAGAGAATGGCTTACCAGAAAGTGACTCTAAGCACCATCTCTCGGAGACTTGTTTCGCGGCAGACTTTGAGTTTCCCTTTCTGAGGTATGCCGTACAGAATACTCTTTATCATGCGAATGCAGCAGAAGAGGGAAATATCGGCCAGACCGAATTCTTCAAAACCTTCCAACTTGCAAACTGGATTCAACATAACAATGTCTTCCAGGAAGGATATGTGCGTCGATATACAGCTGGCGCAAGCCTTTTATATGTCCTGGCCGAGCACAACTTTGGGAGCCTTATCGAGAGCCACAGAGGAAGCCAGTCATGCTTTGATATCGAAGACGAGCGCTATGGAGTTCCTATCCTTGCAGCAATGGCTACGAGTAGCCGACCGACAATCTGGAGGCTGCTCAAAAGGGAGACACGCGAACAGCCAACGACATCACACTTATACGCCTTGTGCAATGAATACGAAATCGAAAAGAAAAAAAAGTGCAGAATTGGGCGCAACTTCAAATTTTACAGACAAAAGGGTCTCATTTACTATATACTACAAGATGATGAGCCCATTGTGGCGTCGATTGCTATCGCCTCGTCCAAAGCCCACACACAATTAAACTTCCGACGTTCTCTCTATGGCGAGACACTACTGTCAGTTGCCATGCAGCGGAGTCATGACGTCTCTTCTACTTTCAGATTTCTCCTCGAGAACGGACTCGACATTGAAACTAGAGATGGGTACGGGCGGACGCCGCTTTGTCTTGCGGCTACAAGTGGGAACACCACTGCTGTAGCTTTCTTACTTGACAAGGGTGCCAATGTTCAGTATGATGATATCTCTTTCCAACCACTTATGCGTGCTGCAATGTACGGCAATGAAGAATGTATGCGATTGATGATCTCGAGCGGAGCCAGTGTTTCTGCGGCAGATAGACAGGGTAAGACGGCACTCTTCTACGCCGCATGCAGCGAATGGGAGTCCAAAGCGAAGGTGAATCTATTGCTTGACCACGGCGCAGATGTTAATAGCGCGGATCACAGTGGCAGGACGCCACTATCATATGCTGCTCAACTTCGTTTCATCTTTGATAAGGGTTGTGTCCAACTACTTCTAAACCGAGGAGCAATTCCTGATAAAGTTGATGAGGCTGGGAAGACCGCTCTTTCATATGCTGTTGAAGAAAAAACTCGGGACCTCCTATCCAATTATTCTTAGATTTTCATTATAACTGATTATGTTGTCACGCGTAAAGCTTTGATTAACGGCCATCACGAAGCTCGCACACGTCGTGTTTGCCAAGGCTTAAGAACAGCCTACTAGCAGACTTTCAACTAGTTGTTCACCACTATGGGAACAGCGGCCATAAGAACCGCCGATGAAATGCTATCCAACTGACAGGTGATCCCACTTCTGCATGTGCTGCGCAATACTCGGTGGCTAAAGTATATTCAAAAGGCCTTCCAAATTTGAACCAGACTGCATCTGTCCCCACATATCACACCACATGGACAACGCGGATGAAGACCTGGGACAGGATGTTATGCAGTTGGTTGTGGCTTTTCAAGGGTCAGCCAATGAAATGGGAAAGATCCCTGTGTCCTGCAGATAAGTTCTACAATGGGAGCGAGCCGGTATCCCCGCCATGCATTCCTCGTCACCTGCGATAGTAGCCTAAAGTTGGACTTATGGCCAGTGAAGAGCTATGGGACCTCCCCACACATGACCAGCTGTTGGTCCTTGGGCATCGTGGTTGGTGATTCGCTGATCCAGTACATAGGCCCAAGACTCTGAGCTATTTTATTCCTCTCATTCCCCTCTTTCTACCATGCCTACGCAAGTCCGATTCAATATGTCCTGGAATCGTTACGGTCTTGGTCAAGCTAACATCTTCTATGATGAAACACATCCGCTGCTATCGAGCTTTGTGCTACCACAGCATGTGGAAGAGGTTAAAAGATGTTTGACGGACTTTTCTTGCCTCGTCAATGAGAAGACGGATTCTTTTTCCAAAATATCTAAATATATGGCAGAGTATGTAGAACAGGGCCTGGATTCAGATCCAACTTGTAAAGCAGCAGAGATGATTCAACACGAAGTGCTCAGCAAAGTCGGTGGGGGCTATGACGAAACCGTCTGGCGAGAAATATTCGAAAAGCGCTTCTTCGATCAGCTTACCGACTCTCTGTCTGCATCTAAGGAAGATTCAAAACGGTGGGTTATCTGCTAAATTATGTACATCAATGCAGCTTACAGAATTTCCCAGAGTATCACGAAACAAGTACTACTATGACCAGGTTATACGGTATGCCTAACACCAAGTCTTGTCAACGCGCGTATTTGACCAAGACGAACAGGAGCAATGATCAGATTTGGACCTTATTTGAACCCGATAAAAATACAACAACCACGCGATTAAGGCCAGTGAAGAGCCCGAAACCCGATCAAGTCTTTTTCTTGCCGATTTACCACCATCATAATAACACCGGACTCCCGAAAGTGGTAGATCCAAAAGCTCGGCAATGGAACCACGGTGGGGACTCCCAAGCTATGGAGCCTTTCACCTGGTGGACACTTCAAAGACTGAACAAAGTTGGCCTTGAACCGTCTCCTTTCCGTATCTTTGATAAGTCTCCATTGGGGGCCAACCTTCGGTGCTATCCTTGGCTTGTAGTAGAGTATAAGAGAGAAAAGGATCAGAATGAAGCGCTCGAACGCGTTGTCATCTGCCAGGCCGCCAATGCCGCGGCTTGTGCGATTAGCCTGGTACAGCAGACAGCTCAATATGCTGTGAGACTTCCCAAACATGCACACATCCCTCCAATTCCTGCGATTACTACTGTTGGGTCTTTCATTACAGTTTGGCTTATGTATTTTGCGGAGGATTTTGATGCGCCATGTAGTCGAAGGGATACAGATGAGGTATTAACAAGAAGGCGCAAAGAAGGCTATGTACGTATTGCTGTCCTTGACCCATACACCATCAAAGCTTAGACTAATGTCGATAGGTCATGCGAGCGATTTGGAAAGGCGACGTTAAAAACCTTATAGACATTATGGCGTTTCAGATGATCCTTGATAGTGCACATACGTGGGCAACCCGAGTCTTCAAGCCTACCATCGCCTCGTACATCGAACAGTGGAAACATATTCACAGCGAACAAAAGACTGGTACGATGACGGACCTACTGCAAACGTCTGAGTCACATGCACTTCGTGAGAAGAAGATTGAAGAGCGAAGACTGGTCGTGCCTCTAGTTCGAGATCTCCTAGACGCCCATACTGGAATGGAATTGGACGACATGGCACATAAAAAGGTCACACCGCTGTTCCTTGGTATGCTTATGCATCAGATATGTTCCATGGAGAGAAATTCGATTTCTAGTCAAATTGAGAAAGCAGTAACGGAAAGGTTGCAGGTCATTGTTGCCGATGGTCTCACGCTTACGACCAAAGTTGAAGCCGTTCACCGAGTTCAGGCAACAGCAAAATTGTTGATCCGAGGTCATCGCGATGAAACAGCACAAACTGCAAGCTCAACACAAGAATCCGAAATGGAAGAGGTGTATGACGACGATCCACATGATTTTGACTATAACCCTATGAACTCTGAATCACGATCGAGATCCCCTTCAGACGCCCCTTTATATGATGGCGATACTTGGTCCGAGGTTGCAGTTTCCGTGGCTTCTACCTCAGCCTTTTCATTAAGATCCTTTTCCGAGGAGACGACGGTCTTATGGAAACATCCGAGCGATCCTGAAGCACCAAAGGCTGGAACAAGTAGCAAGAAGGGATCTGAAAGGCCTGGAAATCTTGATCGACAGTCCTCGCAGCTATCTGAGGGCTCTGACGACGAGACAACTCAGCCAAGCACGGCGGGCCATAAGCATGATTTCATCTTTTCATTCCCAAATTCAGGTTCTCCTCTTGAGCGGCTAGAAGGAAATTCTCTAGACGGACCACCGGTATTCGCAGGGCGATCATCACCCAGTCAAACAAAGTGGCCACGGGGACGAATGTTTGACCCGCCAAAGACTCAAAGGTCTCCCATGCATCGATGTGGCATAAGCCCATCCCCTCCTGCAAATGCAATGGCGAAAGAGTGCATTGACTTGACAAGTGACAGCCAAGCAGACCCTTCGAATACGGAGAATTGAAATACCACTGAAATACTAGGTGGTCCATCTTTATTCCGAAGGGTTTTAGGATACTCAGATTGTTATACAATCATTTATGGCAGCACGCTTTTCTATACCTATACATTCCTTCTACAAGCGTACTTTCAGATATCAGGCCTATGACTACTTCGACCTCACAATCAAGTTACAATTGAATTTGAATTAGACTGTTGCGGATTCATAATCTCTCAACATTATACCGGAGTAATTGTAGTCCGACTATGGCTCGGTTCCAATTAGTTTCCTCTGATATCCGACAGTGATCGGATATACAAGAATGCCCGTTGGTCGATTAGTCAGTATTGCACAGGCTTCATAATTCCTCAAGAGGTGTCGGCTATGTTACCTCTTATCTAAATCCCCGATTCCTGCGATATCGGGATTGGCAATAATGGGCATGATGGACTTCAACGTTACTGACTCGGAAAGCATTACATAACGCGGGACTGTTATTGTACACTATGGAGTATTCTATGTAGCGTAGAACTTAAAATTCCTGAAGGCCAGACTGGGAACCAGACAGAAATAATGAGAGCCACCAATTCTCTCCGCGACACTATCCGAGACGCACCTCTGGGACAAATTCTCAGATTCGCTACCAATAATCGCCTGTTCAAATATCCAGAAGAATACCCAGAATTTGAACTACCTGCTGCCTGGAATGACATACTCAATAGTGCCGATGTCAGAACAGCATGCCACACTGGGACTGACACCCCCTCGACCATCGTTGATCCGATACCCGATCAGAATATCATGGAAGGCCAAGATCTCGAGAGCAAAGTCCTAGACACTAACGGGCCTGCTGATGCCACGCCCAATGTTACTGAGAACGGAATCATTCTAGTTGGCTGGTACTCTGACCAAGACCCCGAAAATCCGCAGAACTGGTCGAACCTAAGTCGAGGCCTTATTGGCTTGATCATCTGCTTCTACACGTTCGTTGTTTATCTCAGTTCAGCTATATACTCACCCTCTGTTGAGGGTGTTAAGAAGAAGTTTGGAGTCAGCAACCTTGAAGCATCACTCGGTCTGGCTATATACGTTCTAGGCTACGGCATAGGTCCGTTGCTATTCTCTCCCCTCGGAGAAATCCCTCGTATCGGTCGTAATCCCGTCTACATTATCACCTTCGGTATTTTCGTCGCCATTTCGATTCCCACCGCCTTGGTCGATTCATTTCCAGGACTCGTCATCCTACGGTTTTTGCAGGGATTCTTCGGATCTCCATGCTTAGCCTCAGGCGGTGCGTCGTTGGGTGATATGTACGGGATGATACATATGCCCCTCGCTATGATTGCTTGGGTTGGTGCTATGTCGTGCGGTCGTAAGTGTTTCAGAAAATTTAGCTTTCTTGGAGATATACTGATTGCTCCGCAGCATCCCTTGGCCCTTTGATTAGTGCATATGCCGTTACAGCAAAAGAGTGGCGTTGGTCCTTATATGAGTCAATTTGGGTCTCAGCGCCAGTACTCATTGCTCTGTTCATCTTCATGCCAGAAACCAGCGCCCCTAACATCCTCCTTCGCCGAGCCGAAAGACTGCGCCGATTTGCCGGTAGTCAGAGGTTTCAGTCCCAAAGCGAGATCGATCAGGCACATCTTACAGTCTCAGGTATAGCTGTAGAGGCCTTGATCAAGCCTCTAGAGATCACCGTCAAAGATCCAGCAGTTTTATTTGTACAGATATACTCGGCTATTCTCTACGCCATATACTATTCTTGTAAGTAGTATGTGCCTCTGCTCTCCATTCACACCTGACCATATAGACTTTGAGGTCTTCCCGTTAGTCTTTCCCGTTTATTATGGCATGACTCTTGGAGAAGTTGGCCTTGTCTTCATTTGCATCGCCGTCGGGTGCACCTTGGCTATCATTTTCTATGGCCTATATCTGTATTACGTGCTCATACCACGAATGAAGAAGTCTGGCATCGCTCAACAAGAGGAGGTTCTCTCGCCTGGACTTGCTGCCTGCTTCGGCCCGACTGTTGGCCTATTCATATTTGCATGGACGGCTAGGGCGTCAATACACTGGATC